TGGTCGAAATTGGTCTGTTTTAACAGAGAAAACCTATTTCCTGGCGAGATAGAGCAAAACCGACATAGATGTCATGGGCTCGATTTCTGAGACACGTTTGTTGTTCGGGGTCTTTTTTAATTTTTTAAAGTTGAGATACGGGGTCTTTTTTAATTTTTTACTATTTTGAAAATTGCCCATAACTTTTGTATTTCGCGGAATAATAAAATTCTGTAAAAATGTTCTTAATGGACTTTTTTAAGCACAATTCAGTGGCGTAGTCAGTTTTTTTCTATACTCTTTTTGTCAGAAATAATCAAAAATATAATTTTTTAAATGGAAATCATAGTTGGCTATGAACTTAAAAAAATGCTGGCGTTTAACCCTTTCCAACGATATAAAGTTATGTGTATTTATTTCTGAAAATGAAAGAAATATTACGTTTTTTATCTTCGTATCGAAGCGGGCTTTGATTTTGTGTTGACCTAGTTGCCTAATTATTTCTTATGACAATTTAATATCCTATTTTATTATTTATCTGCATAATTAAAGCAAAATAAAACACTAAATCCATAGATGATTAAAAACTTTCATCTGCTGATGATGCTAACATGGTTAGCGAAACGCGCGTCCAGTGTAAAAGTAAAAGTGTTTTGGTGTATTATGGTGATTTTGTGTTTTATTTTGCTGAGTAACACCAAAGGTTCCATCCCTCAACTGTAATGCATAATTAAAGACCTTTGAAAAGGTAAATCAACATTCTATATTAGTATTACCATTTACAATTATAACGCCAGGGTTACAACTGCACTATTAAAAGGAGAATTTAGATAGGATTGGAACAAAGGGCCCCATAACTTGGCCCCCATATCTGGGCCTGCTAGGTTCTGTAATTTAACTCCTTTCAAGGTTTTTTATGGGGAAATTAAAAGACCTTATCTATAAGGGAAGAACCATCTATAAGGGAAGAATTGCAGAAGATTACTAGGCAAGCTTTTGGACTTATTACACTTGTTCGCCTAATAAATTGTTGTAACTCTGTGCGCAAAAAATGTTTATTGTGTATTCAACAAGGAGGTGCTCAGTTTGAACATCTTTGTGGATTTTTTTTAGAAAACTATATTCGCCACACAAAAAAGACGTTTTTTTAGTCTTGTTTTTTATTTATTGTATCGATTTCAACTGTAATTACTAATACTAATCTAGAATGTTTTATATGTAAATTTACCTTTTCAAAAGTGTTTAATTATGCAGATAAATAATAATATAGAATATTAAATTGTGATAAAAAATAATTAGGCAAATAGGTCAACACAAAATCAAGGCCCGCTTCGAGATAAAGATAAAAAACCTAATATTTCTCTCATTCTTAGAAATAGATACCCCTAACTTTATATTGTTGGAAAGGGTTAAACGCCATCATTTTTTTTAAGTTTATAACCAACTATGATTTCCATTTAAAAAATTATATTTTTTATTATTTCTGACAAAAAGAGCAAACATAGAAAAAAGCTGACTACGCCACTGGATTGTGCTTAAAAAAGTGCCTAAAGAACGTTTTTACAGAATTTTATTATTCCGCGAAATAAAAAAGTTATGGGCAATTTGCAAAATGGTAAAAAAATCAAAAAGACCTCGTATCTCAATTGGCAGTGAAAATATCAACAGGCGGTTTACGCCATTAAACGTGTCTCAGAAATCGAGCCCATGACATCTATGTCGGTTATGCTCTATCTAGTCAGGAAATAGGTTTTCTCTGTTAAAACAGACCAATTTCGACCACCCTGTACATGTAAGTTAAAAATGAGAATTTAGTTTAACATTTGAATGCAACATAAATTTAACTTACCTGATGAAAAACTCTAAGTCCATGATATTTCGCACTACTGGAGGTAGGTGGTAATGATGCCAAGTTAAAGTTGGTATTAAGATTTCGTTTAGCTACGTACTGTTGATAAAGCATCTATCTGGCACTATCCAAACCTACTTTTTTGTCAAGTTTTTAACATATGCTGCTATAAAAAACTGAGATGTAACTTCTTTTAACTTCTCCTTTGTAGCCTCGGGATTATAAAATTCTTTTAATAGCTCACATAATTTTTTCTTCTGGATGGTGTTCACATGGTGTTCACTAAATTAATCTTCCCTTTATTGAATACAGCAGACGTTGTGTCACAACCAGATATAGCGTGGACACTAAGAATCACATTCTTCAGATCCCCCAATTTTTGTTGTAAGGCCGATATGCCGATTATTTTATTTGGTTTTGATACCTTTCCCGGACGAATCATAAACAGTCTCTTGTGGCAATAATGAATCAGTAACACTATAATGTCCGTATCTTCGCTAACTACTGCTACGGTCCCTTCTGGTAAATTGTCATTTATTGCGACCGCTGTAGTTACAATAAGAGTATCGGCATCACCATCAGCGAATTTAACATTGATTCCATTTTCCAACAATACTTTTCCGAGCACACGAATGAAGTTGCTTTTGTTGGTGTTGTTTGACAAAAAATCTGCCTTTGGTACCTTCACTGCAGATAAATTCGAGAAAGGTACAATTGGTACCATTTTTTTACCTGCAGATCTGCGATTCTGCTCCACAATTTTGGTCTGTATCTCTTCATAGCCATCAAAAACAACAGTGACATTTTTACCATAGTGATATATAATTATAGTATTGAGAAAACAGATCTGAAAATATCGCAGGGTACAGGCTTGGTTAAATAACAATTTACCACCGCAAGATTGGGGTTGGAATCTGAAAAATCGAGAGATGAATCCAATACACTCAGACCAGCTCATTGCTCCTACATGGGTTTTAGAGAAAATTTTTTGCAATTGCTCTTCGGGAGGCTGTAAAAAAGCATGCACATACAAGCGAATGGGACTCACCTGTACTATGGCATGTGGTCAATGCAATGGCATTACATGTATGAACCCAACAAATGTGGAAATGAATGAGGACTATCCTTAAGGTAAGTTATCCTATTTTTGAGCTAAGGTTTTTCTTATTTTGTTATTAAACGTGTAAATTCTTCAATATACCTATTTCATTTGAAATTATTTGTAAAACTGCAATTTTTCTTATTCACTGTTTTTAAAATGTAAAAACGCACATTTTAAAAAAATATCTCCGCCACTGGTAACTTATCTTTATTAAAAAGATCGTTTTTATAGGAACTTGTATCCTAATAAATTTTTTGGTCTCGAGATTTATCTCAAAAATGCTTTCATTTGAAGTTAAACACAGAATGGTGGGTTATTATTAAAACCAATCCTCCTAAATTAAAGAATTCGCACCTGCGCCACTGAAATTCTAAAAATTTTTGGTTCTTTAGCTATGTGGTAGGAAATTTTTTTCTCTTCAATTTTTTACTCTTGACTTTTTTCTTAAAATTCGTAGTTTTAGAGTTATTGAAGAAAAAGTAAAAAAAGGGCCATTTTTACCCCTTGTAGGGGTGGTTTTTGGGTGACGTGCTAAACGGTTCATCGCTGGGATTTCAGGATGTTTAAAGATTTACAAAATGAAGCTCCATGCAAAATTGCAGCTTGTCTCTAATTTGTTGAAGGTCACCCATGTAAAACGATGTATCGGCCCTGAGCTAAAGTGAGAATGTCAAAAGTCGTCATATGATATTTCATTATATGACGTGACATTCAGAGTATCATTTGATATCGAATAAAGTAAAAACATTCCAAGGGTGCCATTTAAAAATAAAAAGTTGTAGTCATTTCCGGTACAACAGAAAGTGACCGAAAAAAATTGAATACGTCAGTCAATCCTAATTTAAGTCATATACTAACATACCAAATCTCGTTTCTTTAGAAAAATAAAAAAGTTATAGGGATGAGCCACTTTTGAGACGCACCCGGTATAGAGTCGTCAAATATATTTATAACAAATAAAGAATAAAAATACTTCTAGTTTCAAAAACGTATATCACCTTATGTCAAATAGAGGAAAACAATATCTGCAAATAGTTGACCTAAAAAATGGTTTTTGAAGGTGATTGCGTTTTATAAATATAGTAAATATGCAACGAGAGCGAATGAAAGTTTTTTTATTCAATCATAATTTTGAATTTAGTCCTTAGAACGTAATATAAAATATCAATAATTTATAAATTTTGAAGACTTTTTTTCAAAATAATTAATTCTAATATAATTAAATAGAACACAAATAGGTCAATACTTGAATTGGAAAATTACTATTTGACATGTTGAGCGTAAAATTGAGAATTGAGAATGAGTATGAAGTGTTTATTTTAATTTTATTTATATACAGGGCGTCTTAGATAAATGCAAATATTTTCAGGGCTGGTAGATCTCGATAAAAGAAACATATTTTCTCTTTACCGTTTTTCAAAAAAGTCCAAAATAATCGAGATATTTTACTTTGAAAATTAAAAAAAATATATTTTTTGCTTAAATTTTGAGAACCACTGAATCTTTTCTGGGTTTTCTTTCTTATAAATCTAATCTATTACCTATGTTGTTACGTTATGAAGATATTATGTTCTTTAACTAAAAATTTAAAAAATTTCCAAAAATTTTTCAAAAAACGCCAAATTTTTAATATTTTAAATTAAAACGCCAATATTTTAATATTAAAATTAAAATAATATTTCGCCAAAAAACCTCAAAGACGTGTTTCCGAGGTCGAAATATACCACCACTAAAAATATTTGCACTTATTTAAGACTCATTCTGTATATTAATAGTTCAAATCGGAATATCGGTTTTTAAAATATCATAAAAAAGTGTTTATTTTTTTAAAGTATGATGCTCTCTAACGGAAAAACGAAGCATTTTTGTATATACATTGTGTCCAATAAATTTATTTTGTTTCCAAAAATACGCAGTATGTAGTTCTATATCCACGGAATATTGGGACACCCTGTATATTTTTTAAATTAATTAGAAATAAAGACTAAAACGGCCAGTACCTACTCTATTTATTTCAATCATTTCGCAGTCTTTACGAGTTTGAGTTAAAAATATTTAGATATAATAGGAGGATACTGGGGTTGGTCTATTTTAAGCTGGCACTATATAAGGCCTGCGCGAAATGAGAAGGTTAGGCAACAGACCACTGAAGTTATTTAAGTCTTTACGTAAATAACATTTTCTCAGTCGCTGGTGTTTTTGGAGAACTGAGAACAACGAAAAATGGTGAGTCCGTGTTGGATAATTCAGGATGCGCATATAGACTCGAAGCATACGAAATATTTTTATGCTTTAATTGTGTTAAAGTGATTTATCTGTGTGAATTAAGTATATAAAAATGAAGTTGTTAAATTTCTGCTTAGGCGGACAAAGAAAAGAAGATCAAGAAGAAGAAGAAGGAAGAAACTTCCGAGGCACCAGCGGCAGCCCCAGCACCAGCCGCCGAAACCAGATCTTCGTCAAAGGGTTCTTCAAAAAAAGCTAAACGCTCTGGATCCAATGTCTTCTCCATGTTCTCTCAGGTACGTACTTAACCGTTTTCAATAGCTCCATACTCACGATCGCAACATTTTTAAGAACCAAGTAGCAGAATTTAAAGAAGCTTTCCAACTAATGGACCACGACAAAGACGGTATCATCAGCAAGGAAGATCTGAGAGCTACCTTCGATGCCGTAGGCAAAATCGCCAATGACAAGGAACTCGACGAAATGGTTCGTGAAGCACCCGGCCCAATCAACTTCACCCAGTTGTTGGGATTGTTCGGCAGTCGTATGGCTGATTCTGGTGGTACCGATGATGACGATGTCGTCGTTGCCGCATTCAAATCCTTCGATGAAAATGGTTTCATCGATGGTGAAAAGTAAGTAAACCAATCATTAACTACCTATAACTAACTACTCATGGACTAAAATCTTATGAGTTTAAGCGTGGTAAACCAGAAGTTTCCTCTTGGAGACTCACTTTACTTCAACTTGTCTTTTCTTTTCAATTTTTTTGAGGTTACAATAGACCCTTGTGTTCCCCAATGTAAAACCATTAAAGACCCACTCAACACAAAATAATATCTACCTATAATAAAAAAAATAAAAATAAAATCCTATATTTCTTTAAAGATTCCGTCATGCCCTCATGACCTGGGGCGACAAATTCACCGGCAAAGAAGTTGACGATGCCTACGACGCAATCGACGTTGATGACCGTGGAAGGATAGACACACAAGGCCTTATTACCTTATTGACATCAGCAGCCGATGAAGAAGGAGAAGGTGAAGCTGCATAAATAATAGGCACACCAAAATTCTGTTTATCATTTAATTTTTAATTTATTTCTGTAATGTAATCTACAAATTTATGTTATATTTTACCCTGTGATTATATTGCTCTTATATCATTTGACATTTATTCCATCATTATAATAAATAATTAAATTTTTATTCGGTGTTTTTTTTTTAATATATTAATTAGTATTTTATTCTAAAATGTCTATAATCATCTCTATCGCCACGCATAAATTCCAGTAAGCTATTTTTAACGTAATTTGAAACGACTGGGTAAAATATGTCGAAGCTATTTTTGAAAACCTGGCCGGGTCAGGTGGAGAGGAAAAACATGGTTTGACTGGAAAATACATTTGCCAATACGCATGTTATAGATGGTCTTTAGACTATTTCTGTAGTGTTCTAAAATATGAATTCTAAATTTAGAATGTGGAGGGGCATAAAATAGTCACATCAAAAGTATTTGCAATTCCATCAATTACCAGCTAGTTACCTAATGACGGACGACTAAAGAATGCCGATGTTATGCCTCCTAGACTACAAAATGAAAATGGTTTCATATACCGGCCCGGCATTTCTGGCCTTGGGTACCGATTTTTGTTTAGAATTTCGTGTACGAATAGTACGGTCACGGATAGCCACCGGTAGCCTTGGTTTTCTACAAAGCGGTATCGCTAAAACGGAGTAAGTGGCACCGGAAAATCTGGCCATTAGTTTTTGGTGGGGGTGGGGGGTTGGTAAGGGGGTATGAGAGGCGCTTAAAATTTTAAAAAATCGTAACTTCAAAATTACAGTAGCTAGCGAAACGCGGTTTTCAATTTAAGATTAGGAATAATATTTGCAAGAAAATTTGTAATAACATCAAAATCAGTCAAAGTCGCAGTTTTTAAGATAAAAAAATTGGAAAAATGCCTTTACTTTGAAACTAAAAGAACTGCCTACCAACTTTTTATTAACATATTTTAGTATGGGCGGCTATACGTGCCTCCCGGCGCCAATTTTTTTAAAGAATGTTGAAAAATATTTATTTTTTATTTATTAATATCTCAGAAGATATCTAAATATATTTGCCCATATATTAGGATTATGTAAAGTGATCTGAAAAGAAGTCAAAAATGCAATAATATACAGGGTGTTCCATTTAAAAAAAATATCATCCCGATCCACTCACAGTTTTTTGAGCCACCCTATAGAAGTTAAAATATTTCCCTGGAATACATCCTCGTACGTATTTTAGGTTTGCGATTAAACATAATTCCCAAGTTTCTTATTCTAGGAGCTACAGAAGCCCGACGCACTATTGCCGGACCCTATATAGCGGCCGCTCTGTACAGGGTGGGCCAAATTGCATGATTTAGTCCAATGAGACCAACAAAATTTAGATCTGAATAATGAATATTATCCAAAAAATTAAAATGGAAGACACTTTTTGAATTTTTATTATACCAGAAAATTGAGCAATGGCGAAAAACAGCATCGTAGGTTGTTAGTATATTCAACTTTACCAGACAAAGTAAATAGATTAACACAAGATTTACTGCATTCACTGAATATTACAATAATTTTGGATACTTGTACGACATAAATAATTTAAAATATTTGCCAAATAACGAGCTTTTGAAGCGCTGTAATGATTTAAGTGCAGTACTTCAAGATGGAGAAAGCAAAGCCATACAATCTATGAGCTTTACGAAGAACTACAACTTTTAGTGTCAAACTCTATTAGAGATGCCAATCAGAGTATTCAATACCTATTTACAAATGATTAGGAAGACATCTATGCCAATGTTTATATTGCTATTAGAATAATGTTGACTATGCCTGTAAGTACAGCTTCCAAAAAAAGAAGTTTTTCTAAGTTAAAAATTATAAAAAAACTACTTAAGAAACAGTATGAAGCAGGACCGACTGTCTGCTTTGGCAATACTCTGAATTGAAGCAGATTTAGCTGCAAAAATCAATTACAAATCCTTACTAGAAGACTTCACTAAAGCAAAAAGCCGAAGAAGAATATTACTTTTGTAAAAAATTAAATCGCTCAAGTTACAAAATAAAACCTTTTTTCAAATCTATATGCTTTTCAATATTCTCCCACCGGGCATTTATATTTTTTCACTTTTTTCACTATCATAAGTACGTATGTCGTGCCGAAGCATATTTGGTAAAATAGATTTGGTAGGCTTTCACTGTATCCACAGCGTTTATTTTGTGCCTAGATCTTGGGAACCAAAGCAAAGGGGCCTCGCTGATGCGATTCTGCCCACGTCTATATTAGTCCACTGGTTATACTACGCCACTGCTTACATCAGAAAAATAAAACACTAAAGCCCGGACCCCATTAGCCAACACTCTACACCACGTGATGCCATGCTACCCCACGTCATGAAGATCTGTGCGTATGTTTTTCCATTTAATTACATGTATTGTGTACACACTAGGCAACACACAACGCCATCCGACGCTATAACACGCTATGACACGTGTGGTGGTTGATTCTTCGGTCCCAGATCTCACCGACGTGTGTTACGGTGCGCCGCGGCGTGTTGTTCGCCGCTTGCCTCTCTAGTCCCGCAGCTATCTACTTTTGTAGTTGATGTAGGGATGCCCCAAAAATAAAATAAATCGATATTTGAATCGATTCAACATCGGATATAACAAGATAGATCCAGAAAAAATCGGCAACAAAAGATTGATCCCTAAAAGATTGATTTAATAATATCGATATTCGATTCTGAATATATTGGTGTACTGGTATTATGATTATAATCTAATATCGGTATGGGTATCGATACTTCTAGTATTTTCGTAACCCTACTGATAACTTTTTTAACTCTAATAAAAATTTCAGGCGTGTTAACACTTGTTACCTAATGGGTACATCCATTTCCACGTCGCAACACGTGGGATAGCGTGGCATCGCGTGGCATCACGTCGTGTTGGCTAATGGAATCCCGGCTTAATTCACCACAATAGCAAATTATGCTAACATGGTTAGTAAAACACGCGTCCAGGGTTAAAAGTAAAGTGTTTTGGTGTGTTGGTGTTATATTTTGTTAAAAAAAAATATTTTAAAAACGCAATATATTTAAAAATTAATAAAGTGTTATAATTTTAACAGGTCACTATTTTTTTAATTACTGCGATACAATCCGCCTGAATTTGAAACTGAAGCGATATTTTTTATTTGACTTTTATTTCATACATTCTATTTTTCAGTACATATACAGGGTCCGGCAATAGTGCGTCGAGCATCTGTAGCTCCTAGAATAAAAAACTTGAGAATTTTGTTTAAGTGCAAACCTAAAGTATGTAACAGGATGTACTTCAGGAAAATATGTAAACTTCTATAGGGTGGCTCAAAAAAGCGTCAGTGGACCTGGATGATTTTTTTTAAATGGAACACCCTGTATATTATTGCATTTTTGGCTTCTTTTCAGATCACTATACATAACCCTAAGATATGATATATCTTCAGAGATATTAAAAAATAAATCAAAAATATATATTTTTTAGCCCTTCTTAAAAAAGTTATTAAAAATACAGGAACTGTTCTGAAATCAAAAGTATATTAGGTATATACTTTAGATGGTCTGTTCTTACTGTGCTAAAAATATGGTAATCGTAAATCATACAGGATGTTCAATATTCTACGCCAAACTTTCTAAAATATAAAATATTTTTTCTTTGTTTTTTTAAATGGAACACCCGGTATATTCTTCTTTTATTAGATCGAGAGTTAAAAAATGAACATTTTTTGTATTTAGAGTATTTCAAAATTTTTAACGGTTTCGTAGATACACGCAGTATTATTTCATATGGCGCTTTCAATGATAAAATACCAGAGAAAAATAATTGGGTGGCTTTGATAAAAATTTACTGTGGAAAATGCCGTATGAAATATAAAACCGCAAATATCTGCGAAACCGTTAAAATTTTTGAAATACTCTAAATACAAAAAATGTTCATTTTTTAATTCTCCGTCTACTGAAAAAATAATATACAGGGTGTTCCATTTAAAAAAACGAAGAAAAATTATTTTATATTTTAGAAAGTTTGGCGTAGAATTTTGAACATCCTGTATGATTTACGATTTTCATATTTATGACAAAGTAAGTACAGACCATCTAAAGTAAATACCTAAAATAGTCTTGATTTCAGAACAGTTCTTGTATTTTTAATAATTTTTTTAAGAAGGGCTGAAAAATATATATTTTTTATTTATTTTTTAATATATCTGAAACTAATCGAAATTTATTTATTCATATCTTAGGGTTATGTAAAGTGATCTGAAAGAAAGCCAAAAATGCAATAATATACAAGGTGTTCCATTTAAAAAAGATCATCCAGGTCCACTCACACTTTTTTGAGCCACCCTATAGAAGTTAAAATATTTTCCTTAAATTCATCCTGGTACATACTTTAGGTTTGCACTTAAACAAAATTCTCAAGTTTTTTATTCTAGGAGCTACAGATGCCCGACGCACTATTGCCGGACCCTGTATACGAGTACATATACCGTGCTGGCAACTGTTACTTTTGGGTCGGCATTTACATGTGTAGAAGTAAATCGCATAGGAATCTTATTAAGTCGGAGTGAGAGAAATGCGACCGACCGACGTGACGCGCGACTGTGTGCTGTTGCGGCGTTGCCGATACGCCTTTCCCTATCAAGAAAAGTAAAATCACGATCGCAAACCGTTTTTAAAAGACTTTTTTTTCCAGAGATAACTAGATAAAATCATTAGACATGTTTCTGAGCATCTGAAATGGAATTATAAGGATACCGTTAGGGTGTCATTTTTTTATAACGAGAAAACGTCAGTAATCGCGATAATTTAAAAACTCAACTTTTTAACACATAACAGGCCATGACTCAAGAACCACTTTAGATATTGAAACTTCATTTTATTTTCAAGATCGGATATTTTACAATATGTTTACATAAGAAAAATTCGATAAGGTTGTTTTTTCCATTCAAAAATTGTAAACAATCCATCCATTTAATTTTAGAGCATAGCAATTTTCAGCAATTGTGCAATTTTTTTATTGATAAAGATTTTCACATACTGTCTACAAAGAAAATACAGCAGAAATATTAACAAAGTTCTTGAAAAAACTACAATCTATTATTTCTAATAGATTTTGAGATATCGATTTTTGAATTCAGAGTTCTAATAGCGCGACCACTATCGAACACCCACTCAATTCCACTTATTTTTACCAAAAATGCAAGTGCTTCTAGCTTGCACTTAAAAAAATCAAGCTATAGGGAAAATTACAACGACTCGCTAAAGCTGTACGCACACTGGCGCGATCACGATCACGATCAGAGATTTAAGTATACCCCCACCAGCTGCCCTGATCGTGATCGTGATCGCGGCCGTGATCGCTCCAGTGTGCGTACAGCTTAATAAATAAACAAATTAAGTATCACGAGACGTAATTAAACCGTGAAGCTGAACGCATGACGTACACCTTTCCCTAGAACTTTAAGTACTGACAGAGGTATTGACCGGTCAACTGCGACAAATCTGCTATATTCCCTTCCACGTCTCTTAACGATGTGCACAGTTTCTCGGTTTATTTCATACGTTTGGCAACGTGTTTATTGTCCTCTCTTTGTTCAGTACATTATAAACGCATTTTGTACTCTTCTTACATACGGAAATCTCGACCCAAGACTAACCTTTGCCAGCCCTTAGTATGTATTAATTTCATGCTTTTATTCCATTTTTTTTTCAATATTGCCAAATCACTGTTCAACAGGAGATTGTTTACAGAACTAAAAATTGTGAATAAATTATGAATAAATTACTAATCCATTAAATGTGTTAGTTAGTCTATAACTTAAATTCCTACTATGTATTGTTTTATTTTATTAAGGCACCTCTTAACCTATATAGGAAATAGCTTTCGACATGGAATAGATTAAATTAACCTAAATTTTTAGAATCTAATATGAATTTCTAATATCTAAACTAGCGTTATTGAACTAAATCAAACGAAACCTCAACCTTTAATTATTTTTTTTATCAAATCGGTTCGTAATGTTTTTCAAGTACCCTGTAGTTTCGTCGATTCTTTTGCTTCTTTTCTTAATATTCAATGATGCCGAAATTGTTGAGAATAAAAATGCCATAGTAGTGAAAAAACATCATAAGAGATTGAAGAAAATAGACGGGGGTATTAAGCTCGTAGGAGGTAGACAAGAATTTGAAGGTAAGCATTGTTAAATTCTCAAATCCATAGTGATTTCGAAGTTTAAATCCATAGTTTTTTCAAAGTTCTATAACTGATCAATATCATTTAAATATGCTTCCACTGTCTAGATACATAATTCTACAATATACGCAACCAGAGGACGCAACAGAACATCAATAAAGTGAATGAATGCTTAGAATACGATGGATAGAATACTTTAATTGATAAATTTATTTTTTTAAATTTCTTTTAAGCACATAAATCATAAATTTAGCTGCTGAAAAATGGCTTTGTGAATGTGTGTGATTATTTATTTTTATTTTTTTTTATTATTTAACACTGGTCTGCATGAAAATCGGCACTGACACCGTTCTTGTCGGTTCTTAATAAAATGACCTCCTTAATCCAAATATGATCTCCATTCATCAAATATTTTTACTGATTTTCTATAGTTTGGTGGAATGAAAAGGATTATTTTGGTCTATATACCGCGTACGTCTCAAAAGTGGCTCACCTCTATAACTTCTTTATTTTTTCAGATAGAAAAACGAAATTTGGTATGTTAATATATGATATAAATTAGGATTGATTGACGTATTCAATTGTTTTTGGCCACTTCCTGTTTCACCGGAAATGACTACAACTTTTGATTATTAAATGGCACCCTCGGTATTTTTTTGCTTTATTCGATAGAAAATGACATTCTGAATAAAATGACATATTATATATCAACTTTTGACATTCTCGCTTAATCAAAAATCGTATCGTATTTTAAAATTCAATCTAGAGTGCAATGGCTATGTTAAAAACACTAATACTTAATCAAGGAGCCTTGGAAAAATAGATTTGATCGTCTAATGTTTTTAATGTCTTGTCCTGGCCAGTTAGAAAATGCTCAAATCGTATTTTTAATCATACATCAGTTTTTTCAAATGGAACGATGGTGGCTCATTAGCATATTTCGAAAAAGCATTTTTTTACGAATAATTTGATAGCACACACTTGGTATTTCGTCAAATTTTCGTTACGAACCGCAAGTTATAATTTCAAAAAAATTGTCAAAAGGTTGACATATGATATGGCATTCTATTCAGAGTGTCATTTTCTATCGAATAAACTTTTTTAATTGGTAATCCCTTATTTCTCAAAGAATGAATGTTCAAAATTCACTTGTGACTTCTGATTACTCACTTTCATCACTTAAAGGACTTTTGTACAAACTTTCACACTCCTAGAACAAATTTTTTAACTAAAAAATTATACAAAATTTCAGCCCCAGTTCACCCCCTTGGGAGAAGATTATAAACTAGTTGCTATAGCTGAAAGATCGATAGTGAAATTGCAGTCGAAGTTAAGAAATAACAATAAATAAAATATCACGGACATGTTTACTACGATTACGATATAAATCACAGTCACAGGTATACCTGTGATTGCAAAATCACGTTTTCGCCCAACTCTAATTGCTAGATGACTAAGCCATAGAATGTGACATGCCTTTTAAAGTGTATTCCTTTCAGTCGCGCCTGGACTTTTTTTCTGAACATTTAGGCGCAGTCTAGAGGTGCGTATTCACTTGCAACAAAACACTCTCCGAACAAACCAAACGCGCCGCGCACTCCAAACAATCTGCAACAAAACATTTTCCGGAAGCGCCTTGAACGACCTGCAACAAAACATATTGCGCGGAGCGTTCCGCCCACAAAACACATACACAAGAAGAAGTGCGAGCGCCTTGCTAAATATTGGAAAGTGAAATTGACGTTTAAATTTGACACTGTTGACAAGTCTACTGCTACTAGCGCCCCCAATTTCGCTTGTTGGAACTACGGACTAAATTGTCACGCATGGCGGGAAGTTTAAAATAATAAAAAATTTTATTTCTTCATTTATTTTTAATTATGACATACACAAAAACACAAAAAATACACCATTTTTTAAAAATATGTTTAATATCAATATCAAATATACAACAGAAATTAATTTCACCACAATAAATTAATAAAATTAAAAGAATAATGTTACAAGTAGATCAAGAGACAAAATTAATTATAAAAAACTGAAAAAATGGCGTTATAGATGGCTTAGAAATAAAAGATATATCATAATTTTGAAAGTAAAATTATATGGGAAATGTCTTCGATCATCATTTTTAAGCCAACTGGACGATTATTTCAAACATACAAGCTGAGTTCGTTCATAGTGCTCTGAGAAATCTAGATAAACAAAGAATAATAAATTAAAAGTATTCCAGGGGAAAAGAGAGGAAAAACCTGTATCGTCTCTGATATCTGTCAGGGTATTGTTGAAAGTGTCATCTTTTTGCTCGAAGTTTTCAGGTCGATCAAAAAGATGACATTTACAACAATACTTTGCTGTAACTTTCACAAATATCAGAGAGAGTACATACAGGTATTGCCTCTCTTTTCCTCTGGGATGCTTTATATCTGTTGTTCTTTGTTTATCTATATTTCTCAGAGCATAATGCCGAACACGACTACAGTATATAATAATTTCAATATCCGAAGTGGAAAGAAAAAAGATCACCTTTCTGTTTTGTACTATGGTCCCTTTCTTCCGATGGCTCATCTCGTTGATATTTAGGAAGGATAAATAGGAAGGAAAATATAAAATTCAATTTGATTTGATGATCCTTTTCTGTCACCTAAAATCAGGAGAACGACAATGAGCATGTTAAGATGAAAAAAAAATTATCAACACTTACCTACACGTTAGTCCGAGGAGTTTTATTAAAAACCTATATATTTGCCTAAATAATTTATGTATTAAATTTGCAAAGCAAAATGCAGCGTGTAAACAAAAGAAATAAAATGGCGACAAGTCAACGTCAACGACCCGACAAGGAGAAAAGTGGTGTTCGAATAACAAATTATGGGTCACCAAAAATTGTTTTTGTCTCCTTTCAACGCACACTTTAGAAAGAAAAAGAGATGAACTGGAATACTGAAAGAACGTCAAGGCTTTATCTGTCACTTTTGTCAATAATTTATCGGTAAGGAATAGTTACATCATATTATCTCTATTACACCTCATACAAATGAAAATTATTCATAATATCAATACATAGTTTATTAACGTAGTTTTCATGTAGTTAATCAACGAAAAAAGTCGTAGTTTTTGAAGAAAAACTACACGTAGTTAATCAGGTAAATTACGTCTTAATTAACTACTTCCGAACCCTGCTCCTTAATCCAAATATGATCTCCATTCATCAAGTATTTTTACTGATTTTCTATAGTTTGGTGGAATGAAAAGGATTATTTTGGTCTATATACCTGGTACGTCTCAAAAGTGGCTCACCCCTATAACTTCTTTATTTTTTCAGATAGAAAAACGAGATTTGGTATGTTAGTATATGACATAAATTAGGATTGATTGACGTATTCAATTGTTTTTGGCCACTTCCTGTTTCACCGGAAATGGCTACAACTTTTGATTATTAAATGGCACCCTCGGATTTGTTTACGTTATTCGATAGAAAATGACATTCTGAATAGAATGACATATCATATATCAACTTTTGACATTCTCGCTTAATCAAAAATCGTATCGTATTTTAAAATTCAATCTAGAGTGCAATGGCTATGTTAAAAACACTAATACTTAATCAAGAAGCCTTGGAAAAATAGATTTGATCGTCTAATGTTTTTAATGTCTTGTCCTGGCCAGTTAGAACATGCTCAAATCGTATTTTTAATCATATCTCAGTTTTTTCAAATGGAACGATGGTGGCTCATTAGCATATTTCAAAAAAAGCATTTTTTTACGAATAATTTGATAACACACACTTGGTATTTCGTCAAATTTTCGTTACGTCAAATTTTCGTTACGAACCGCAAGTTATAATTTCAAAAAATTATCAAAAGGTTGACATATGATAGGGCATTCTATTCAGAGTGTCATTTTCTATCGAATAAACTTTTTTAATTTGTAATCCCTTATTTCTCAAAGAATGAATGTTCAAAACTCACTTGTGACTTCTGATTACTCACTTTCATCACTTAAAGGACTTTTGTACAAACTTTCACACTCGTAGAACAAATTTTTTAACTAAAAAATTATACAAAATTTCAGCCCCAGTTCACCCCCTTGGGAGAAGATAGTGAAATTGCAGTCGAAGTTAAGAAATAACAATAAATAAAATATCACGGACATGTTTACTACGATTACGATATAAATCACAGTCACAGGTTTGTTTCACAGCGAATTAGAAATTACAGTCACAGGTATACCTGTGATTGCAAAATCACGTTTTCGCCCAACTCTAATTGCTAGATGACTAAGCCATAGAATGTGACATGCCTTTTAAAGTGTATTCCCTTCAGTCGCGCCTGGACTTTTTCTCTGAACATTTAGGCGCAGTCTAGAGGTGCGTATTCACTTGCAACAAAACACTCCGAACAAACCAAACGCGCCGCGCACTCCAAACCAAACCAAACCAAACATTTTCCCGAAACGCTCTGAACGACCTGCAACAAAACATATTGCGCGGAGCGTTCCGCCTGTTTGCGGTGTTCGCTGCGTTCCAACAAGTAATCAGTGTGTGAATCAGTGTTAGTGTGTTTGTCGATAAGGATGCATCTGATATTACCATAGCCGCTGGTGTTTTTTTTAATTTTAGAAACATTAGCGGGTAACAAAAAAGAGAAAAAAAGGAAAAGACAAAAAATGTGGGCAAGACGCCTCTTTTTGCTCCGTCAATATAAAATGGCCTTACTCCTTACTTAGTGACCTAGGTTATATGCATAAGAAGAATTTGATTAATTTAATAATTAATTATTAATTTAATAAAATAGACCGCCTATCAAACTCATCAATTAACTCTAAACACTTTTCTCTGTTACACTCCATAGCTAGGTACAGTTTAAAAACACCCCAAACACAACGAACGTTCAAAACTGCCGTATGCACCAGTAGTGGGAACTATCGAATGAATACTATCGAAATATTCGATAGTTGCAATTCATTCGAATGATTCGATAGCTAGTAAAAAAACATTCGTTGAAAACTATTTGAATAAAAATTATCGAATAGATGCGTCATCTGCCTTGAAATATTGTATTCTAGTAATTCGGCAGCAAAAATCATTCATTTATAAAATTCATTCATTTATGAAATTCATTTATTCGTCAGGATCCATTATAATAAAATATTAACTGGATTTTAGTAGTCGCCCGGCGACGTAGGGTTCTTTCCGAGAAACCCGACAGCGGTCGGTGGCAATGCTATGAAAGAAGCCGGCATCTTTGATTTTTTGCGGAGTCATATAAAGATAAGGACACATTATTTTTTTATTGAGGTGCTAGTATTTACACAGAAAATACATTGTGAAGGGCGCTGTTGCCATATATTGGTATTAGTTGATATTAGCAAAGAATATTATTGTTTGGCTTTAGTTAGTTAGGGATAGTATGTCTATATATTTTGCATTTTTTTTATTAATATTCTGTTGTTACACTGCAATAATACTTGTTATTTTGGATGTAGGAAAATTATTTTTAATGTTTTTAAGCAAAGACTGGTTTAATAAAAAATAATAATAACAGTAATAATTTGTTATACCTATTAACAACAAAATTTAAAATCATTTAATATAAACATTATTTTAAGTAATAGCAAAATATAAACAACAAATTAAATGTCAAAATTATTTATATTAAATCCTATTTAAAAATAATATAGTCTTTAAATTTTAATTTAAAAATAATATATTTTAAATAATAATAATTACAGAACTAATTTGTTATATTAACAACAAACTTTAAAATCATGAAATATAAACATTTATTAATTTTCTAAGCATGCAGTGTAATGGAAGGAAATTATTATAAAAAATTAGAAATCAAAATTATTTATATTAGGTACTTTATATTACTATTTAAAAATAATATTTACTTTTACTGGCATTTACTTTAAAAAATAAATGAAATATTTCTTCGCAAAAAAAAACTACATGTAAGAGAAGCATAAACAAAATACAAACATCGTTAACTTTTTTTTTTAAATTGGCACGTGTAAAACTTTCAATTTAATTTTCTCATCCCATAGTTTGAGTTCGATAACCCCCCATTTACTTAACCACATTACTTAAATATGATTATTAAGTTCAACTAATTCGTATTATTAAAACATCTAAAATACAAATATGTATTTTTAAAATTAATTCTAAGTTCATCTCATCTCTCTTAAAAATTGCTACTTCTCAAAATTTCTCATTAAAAAATAGACCATATACCATATAAAATAAAATAATTGAAAGATCGGGCTACGGAAAATCACACAAATTTTCGGAAAAATTTTGACCACCTGCACACGCACACAATCGTCAATTAAAAAAAAACAACTTTTATTGTAGTATTTTAAATATTTTAATAAACGCAAAAATAGCACAGTATTTATAAGGCGAAGTTATAAAAATTTGGAAGAACTAATAATGCACTCACGCACACAAAAATCAAACGAATACTAAATTTCATTTATCAAAAGCATTCGATAGTCGTGGCTCAACGACAACCATTTAGTCGCACGGCGAGGTTGTCACATATGCTTTAGTATACAAATGAATGAATGATTTTATTCGAATAAAACCATTCGATAGTTGAAATCATTCATTCAGTAACCATTCGATAGTCTAATTCATTCGATAGTTCCCATCGCTAGTATGCACTGAACACCGGCCAACGAACAAATTCTTTTGAGCAAATCCCGTTTACCGACAAGCTTCGGAAAATGTTTGGCGCGTTCGGTTCGGTTCGGCGCAACGTACTGCCTACACAACAGTGTTGCCAGATATACCATTTAAATGGTATCTATACCATTTTTTCTTCCTTGATACCTGCAAAAATTTTGAGTATACCATTTTCCATTTTTCTACCATTTTTTGAAGACGTTACCATTTTTTTAGAATCCCAGCGATCTACATTTTTTAAACTTTTTAATGCAAACCAATCTAGTTTTCCACATCTACTAAAATCTCATATCTCTATTATTTTTTATAGGTATTATTTCTTGAAAAGTTTTACCTATTTTATTCTAAGTCTGGTTTTACCTATATTTTCAGAGCCAAATATGTAGATTATTAATGTTGAATTATTAATAATATATTTTATGTTACCTATCTATTTAAAATGTTCCTATTACCTTATTATTATATTAGGTCTGTTCGTTTTCCTGTTATTATCGATTCTGAATCGTCCTAGAACTCTCCAGCGCATGCGCAAATGAAATAATGTCTTCATATTTCCTTCTGCGCATACGCATCACAATTCTAGGACGGTTCAGAATCGGTAATAACAAGAAAACGAAAAAAGCTATTAATTATACCTATTTCTTTTATTATTATTTTGCATAAATAAAATGTAAAAAAAAAAATTAAATGCCTTGCGCAAGAGTTCAAAACTGATGTGACAACCAACAGCTACGATGTTTTCAACCAAAATGAGGTTCGTTTGGTTTTTGGGGTTAATCCACGGTTAATCATAGTATCAAAATTATAAAAATATTAAGATCCTCTTTAAAAGTAAAAATACCATTTTTTTTCAGTCAAATACCATTTTTTTAAATACTCGATACCACTTTGTATTTTTTCCATCTGGCAACACTGCTACACAAACTTGTCACAGAGCACGCTGCGCGTTTGGTTCGTCCGGAGTGTTTTGTTGCAAGTGAATACCCACCAAAAGGTGTGACAAGCAAGCACCAAATCAAGTTAGATATCAATAAAACTATTATTATATAAAAAAGGGAGACTCTCCCAAAAATGGTGGGTGGTAGAAAAAAACGGGAGCTATATTTGGATTCAAGACGTTATTTTATACCGGGTGCGTCTCAAAAGTGGCTTACCCCTATAACTTATATTTTGAGATAAAAAAACAGATTTAGTATGTTAGTATATGACATAAATTAGGATTGATTGACGTATTCAATTGTTTTTGGTCACTTCTTGTTTCACCGGAAATTACTACAACTTTTGATTTTTAAATGGCACTCTCGGTATTGTGTCACTTTAATCGATAGAAAATTGACATTTTCGAATATGGTTTATTTGAAATTGTAACATGCGATTCATAACGACAATTTGACTCGAAATACGAAGTGTGTGGTACCAAATTATTCGTAAAAAATGCTTTTTCCAAATATGCTAATAAGCCACCCTTGTTCTATTTGAAGAAATTCAGATATGATTAAAAAAACGATTTGGGCATCTCTTAACCGGCCAGGACAAGACACAAAAAACATTAGATGATCAAATATATTTTTCTAAGGCTCCTTGATTAAAAATTAGTGTTTTTTTAACAATTTTTTTTAAAGCGAAAATGTCAAATATTGACATACGATAAGTCAATCTATTCAGAGTATCATTTTCTATCGAATAAAGTAAAAATATACCGAGGATGCCATTTAAAAATCAACAGTTGTAGTCATTTCCGGTGAAACAGGAACTGACCAAAAACAATTGAATACATCAATCAATCCTAATTTATGTCGTATACTAACATACCAAATCTTGTTTCTTTTATCTGAAAAAATAAAAAAGTTATAGGGGGTGAGCCACTTTTGAGACACACCCGGTATAAGAATCAGCGGGAACGGTGATTGAGAAATTTGTATTCGCAGACCAGTGTAATCTAAAAAATAATACGATCTTAAAATTCTGTTACATCCGGAAATCAGTAACTCGTCAGTAAATAATCAAATTAGTAGGTAATCTTAAATTTTTTAAAATCAGGAAATATTCAAATTTTACATAATGGTACATGGGGATCGGTATGCGACGACGAATGGGGCGAAATGGAAGCAAGGGTTGTGTGCAAACAACTTGGTTACAACCCTGATGATGCCCAGCCTACAGCAAATAGTTTTTTTGGGATCGCCAAGAGTAAGACTTACCAATGTATTTCCTATATACTAAGTATAGTATTCATCTTTTTGACGTACTTTTGGAAAATTAACCCACTTTACTCTTAAAGGACATTTAATAGTTTCGCATAAGTTTGACATTTTAAGCAGTATTCGACAATTTCGTTTTTATTTCTTTAGAACACTGTGTAGCCTATGAAAATAATTTTAAATCGTAAAACTAATAATCTTCTATACAATTAACTACACTCACCGGCAAAAAAAAACGGCCACTAAAAACTAGTCCAAATTTCAAAGTTTTCTCGTGAACCACTCATAAGATTTTGATGGTTTTTTTTTAAATTGTAAATTAATTCCTTCTTAACGGATGCTACGTCAGCAATTTTTATTCCAAATTTATTTTGAGCATATACAGGGCACAACAATAAGACGAAGTTTTTTGCCCAAACTTTGTAACACCCTGTAGGGTGCAGCAGCTGTAGTAGCGATTGTCTAAATCAAATCACATTGTAGCCTCATCTTTTGTGAGCATTTTGTTTTTTTAATCACGACATTATCTCTGTTTGTATTGGAGATGCGCTGCTTCAAAACCAACGCCTCGAAAAAAGCTTTAACATCAAATCAAACATCAGAACGTAGACGTAAACTAACTAAAACATGAAAATTAAAAAAAAGGTAAAGACATTTTAAGGGACTAATATCTAGTATCCACTCGCCTGGTGAAATTTTCTGTTTCCATATACCGATTTCGGGCATCCTGGACTTTTGTTCGAAATATACCCAGGGTATCGGAGACATAACGTTGACTTCGGCCATCCTCAAATAAAGCCACAATACGAGCAACATTTGTTACAGGTGATGGCATTTTTTAATTTGACAACCGTTTTTCTCATATTGCAAATACTCATAAATCCGTTTTCGCCTATGTCGCCTTGATTATTTATACATAAAACTTTCTGCCTTTTCCGAGATGAATTTTGAATTTTTCCGAGACGTTCGTTTTAAAACAGCATATCTCCAATACAAAAAGAGACAACGTGGTGATTAAAAAAACAAAATGCTCACAAAAGATGAGGCTACAATGTAATTTAATTTACAGGGTACAGATAATTACCTACAGGGTGTTACAAAGTTCGGGCAAAAAAACTTCGTCTTATTGTTGTGCCCTGTATATGCTCAAAATAAATTCGGAATAAAAACTTCTGACGTAGCATCGTTAAAAAGGAATTAATTTACAATTTAAAAGAAAAATTATCAAAATCTAATGAGTGGTTCGCGAGGAATCCAACTTTAAAATTGGGTTTAGTTTTTAGTGGCCGGTGAGTTTATTTTAACTGAAAAAAATAATTTGTCTATCGTCCTTTAGAGAGACATGGATGATCATTTCAGGCGTCTAAATGTAACACCCGACAAGTCCTTTACAAGTCCCGACAATAAATTTTACAGAATACACAAAAAATGATTTAAAATATTATGGATATTAAAAAGAATAATAAATCTAAAGTACTGAATTTATCCAGTGCAGTAGTATCTTTTGCAAATATCTTGCATAAAAATGTAATTCAGAGAATTTTTCTTGGGATAATGAATTAAAAGGTGTATAGAACTTAGTTTTTAAAAATGTGTGGCTTGTCGGGTTTTGCTTTTAGACGCCTGATTTGGAGTCTACATTAATTTTTTAGGAAAATTTTGGCTTGATAACGTAAACTGTAATGGAACGGAAAAAGAATTACAGGATTGTCGATCTGAACCATGGGGTCTTAATGACTGTAACTATTCTGAAGCTGCTGGTGTAATATGCCTTCAAGTAAATAGCACAATTATTGAGTCAAAAACGATTCAAAAACACTGTAAGTTCTTAATCTAATAGCTACAATCAAGCTACAATATATTGGGGACAAAGATCATGTTACCAGTAGTGGCGTGCTACGGAGGCACTACCCTAGTTTTTCCACAAAAAAGTTTTTTTTATCTTCAATTTTTTTTAATATACAGGGTGGTCCGAACTTTATTACGGATACTTTATTACTTCGTCAGCATATTATACCAATAAAAAATAAGTAAAAAAGTCCTAAAATGTTTAGTTTCGGAGATACAGGGTGTAGAAGTTTCATTTTTATTTCGATTTTTTTCCAAATAATTCCTGAAGTAGCGTCAATATTTGGATGAAAAATGGTATCTGTGAGTTTATGAACATGAGAAATATGATTTTGATGTCAATGTGACTCCTACTTGTAGAGGGCGCCACCCACATATTTTTAACTGGTTTGAAGACTAATAACTTTTCGTCTGTACCTGTATAAAACTACTGAGTAAAAAAATATACATCTGCGACGTTTTTTAAAAGTAAAAAATAACACTGGTAAAAACTACATTGGTAAACTAACATTGGTAAAAATCGCTGCGAGTAATGGTTCTCAAGATATTTGGAATACAAATTATCGACACCTGTCATCACTGACATAAATTAAACATGTTGACTAAATAGTTATTAGACTGAAATCATAAATTTAAAATGTTTTTGTGCCAAAAGTTCAACACAACTGTTTTATCATCATTTTTTCGAAGAAAAATTTATGATTAATTTAAAAAAATAAAAAGTTCCCAAATTTAGCATTTCAGTCAACATAATCTATTCAACATGTTTATTTTTAGTCAATAATGACATGTATTGACTATTTTCATTCTAAATATCTTGAGAACGGTTGCTCATAGCGATTTTTACCAAGAGACCTTTTTTACGTAAAAAAACATTATAAATGTATATTTTTTTTACTCAGTAGTTTTGATACAGGTACGGACGAACATTTATTACTCTCCAAACCAGATAAACCCCCCCTCGCGCCCTTCTCTCGCACCCTCTACAAGTAGGAATCATATTGACATCAAAATCAAATTTCTCATGTAAAAATCTCTCAGATACCAATTTTCATCCAAATATTGACGTGACTTCAGAAATTATTTGGAAAAAATCGAAATAAAAATAAAACTTCTACACTCTGTATCTCCGAAACTAAGCGTTTTAGGACATACCTTTATACTTTTTTGATAATTTTTATCGGCAGAATAATGCTGCCAAAATTTCCGGAATACAGTTCGGACCACCCTGTCTATCTTTTTTGTCTTATGGCCGCTTTACAATTCACAATTTTACTTGTCATAATTAAGTTTTAGTTCAATTTACAGTAAGCAATTTTTATTTGAATATTTTTGTTGCGAACGGAATGAGCAATTTAAAAAACACAGACGAACGCTGAATTTATTAAATAATGTGTGATTAAAACTTTCAGAAATTTTAAAAGATCGCGAGCCAGACCATAACTGCTATAACGTAGAAATATCTAATCGGCAAGCGAAATACAAAACCAACATTTTAGCCTTTCACACAAAACTCTCGTATTTTGGGTAAAAGGCCGAGTCGCAAGGCCCGGTAGCAAGGCCGGATCCGCAGGCCGGGCGTTTCCGTGTATGGGGAGCTAATATCGACAGGTTTTAACAGGCATCTAGACCAGTGTTTCCCAAAGTGTGGATCGCGATAAGTTAGTAGGGTTGAGAGTTCCAAAACCACAAAAAACGCCACTTTGTTAAACCATGTGTTTACCAAAAAGCGTTCAGATTCTGAGAAAAAAATTGGAGCTTATTCTCTTACCTTTTATGTTTATTGATAGTTCAACATGTTCAAGAAAGTAATCGGGTAAACACGGATTCAGTATCATCTGCAACAGTTCAAACGAATCTCTTCGGGTATATAATCACAGATCAGTTGTTCAAAATTGGTTGCGCTGTATTTGTATGCTTCCATAATTTCCTGAATGCATTGGAATGAATTGAGTTGCTTTTTACCAAGTGAAGTCAACCATAAATTGATTTTTCTTATAAACCCCTTAATTTTATGTGCGACTGTAATTACATAATATGTTAATGTTGCAACCTTGCAAATTACTGAATAAAAAGGGGTCGTCCTCTATATACAGGGTGTTTCAAATCAAATGCGAAAAACTTCAGGGGCTGATTCCTTGTTCAAAATAAAGGGTAGTTTGCTTCATAAACGTTGGGTCAAAAGTCAACCATTACGGAGTAGTTATTAAATAACGATAAACGTTGAATCAATTATTAGATTTTTTCTATTAGGCTACCCATTGGTACAGAAACCATTAGATTAAAAGGTGGAAGAATACCAACGGAAGGAAGAGTTGAAATCCAAGACGACAATGGACAATGGAATAGTATTTGTAGTGAAGGCTGGTCTCTCAAAGAAGCACTTGTAGTATGCCGATCGCTATCCCTAGGTAGTAATTATTAGAATCTAATAATTAGTTTTGTAAAAAATACCTTTGTATGTAAATACATTGTTTTACTTTACATTAAGTTTTAAGTTTTGAAAGTTCTGTTGTAAATGTATTTTTTTCCAACGTCACAATGTCACAAGATAATTTTTAGGACGTTATTGACCATTGCCTGGAAACTTATATGGTGAAATTTTGATAAAATAATTTAGTACACACTAAAAACACGGTATGTCGCTAGCGGTAGGAAAAATAATTTTTAGAGGTTACTAGTTTATTTGGTTGCCTGTGATATGCATATACAGGGTGTTTCCTAATTAATCTAAAAATATAAAATCGTAGAAAACGAATTAAGGCGGGCTCTTAATAAGTATATTTATTTTTTTCTCGACAACCGTTTGATGAACAAGAAAAACTCAAAAGATCAATTTTGTTGAAAAAGGATGGCCAGTCAAGAAAAAAATATTTTTTCTTTAAAAAAGCAGTGGTGTACACCATTTATGTTAAGCAAAAAAATCGATTTTTTTTAATTTTAACACCCCGTAGATCTGAAAGGAAGTACTTGAGACCTAATGGTTATATAAAAATTGTTTTAAGAACACATGAGGAATCACACCATAATTTTTTTAGACTAATTCGAAAACACCCTGTATATTGTCAACTTGACAATGACTGCTGATAAATCAAAAAATACCTTTTCAGTGAAAAAAGCCTGATTTTCGCAGGAAAAATTTTGATTTTTATTGAATTTGGGCCTGCGTTTGCAAATACTCGTTTGTTTTTTAATTTTCTATCTATCTAAATTTTAAATATCATAGTCAGAAATAGTTTTATTATTTATTAACTGTAAAAATGGTGTTTTCTTGTTGTGTTGCATCTTGCAAAGAAACTAACAAAACTGTAAAAATGTACGTGTTTCCAAAAGACGATAAGGTATCTTAGATAAAAGAAAAATATATGGTATGTATTCGTTGTTTGATTTTTTTTCGTTCGCTTTAAAATCTATAAATCTCGGTCTATTCATTAGACAGCCAGTCGACTTACGATCATTTACATGAAACTCTGTAAGATAAATAAACAAATAAATTGTAAAATATATATATTCTTATGTTTTATTAAAGTTACTCTGATATACTAATATATCAGTATAACTTTAAAAATAAATCCTTTGAATTCAAATATAAACATAAAAAAACATTTACAGTAGAAAAGGCGAAGGCGCTGGGTTAAACGTAGTCTCCACTAAAAACACGGAGGGGCGCTTTGACCCAAAATTTTACTATTAAGTTTCATATCTATCTTAATAGTAGATTATTTTCTTTTATCTATGGTTATAATTACTTTTTATGTTGTCAATAACCATAGATAAAAGAAAATAATCTACTATTAAGATAGATATGAAACTTAATAGTAAAATTTTGGGTCAAAGCGCCCCTCCGTGTTTTTAGTGGAGACTACGTTTAACCCAGCGCCTTCGCCTTTTCTACTGTAAATGTTTTTTTATGTTTATATTTGAATTCAAAGGATTTATTTTTAAAGTTATACTGATATATTAGTATATCAGAGTAACTTTAATAAAACATAAGAATATATATATTTTACAATTTATTTGTTTATTTATCTTACAGAGTTTCATGTAAATGATCGTAAGTCGACTGGCTGTCTAATGAATAGACCGAGATTTATAGATTTTAAAGCGAACGAAAAAAAATCAAACAACGAATACATACCATATATTTTTCTTTTATCTAAGATACCTTATCGTCTTTTGGAAACACGTACATTTTTACAGTTTTGTTAGTTTCTTTGCAAGATGCAACACAACAAGAAAACACCATTTTTACAGTTAATAAATAATAAAACTATTTCTGACTATGATATTTAAAATTTAGATAGATAGAAAATTAAAAAACAAACGAGTATTTGCAAACGCAGGCCCAAATTCAATAAAAATCAAAATTTTTCCTGCGAAAATCAGGCTTTTTTCACTGAAAAGGTATTTTTTGATTTATCAGCAGTCATTGTCAAGTTGACAATATACAGGGTGTTTTCGAATTAGTCTAAAAAAATTATGGTGTGATTCCTCATGTCTTCTTAAAACAATTTTTATATAACCATTAGGTCTCAAGTACTTCCTTTTAGATCTACAGGGTGTTAAAATTAAAAAAATCGATTTTTTTGCTTAACATAAATGGTACACCACTGCTTTTTTAAAGAAAATATATTTTTTTCTTGACTGGCCATCCTTTTTTAACAAAATTGATCTTTTGAGTTTTTCTTGTTCATCAAACGGTTGTTGAGAAAAAAATAAGTATACTTATTAAGAGCCCGCCTTAATTGGTTTTCTAACGATTTTATATTTTTTAGATTAATTAGGAAACACCCTGTATAATGCATATCACAGGCAACCAAATAAACTAGTAACCTCTAAAAATTATTTTTCCTACCGCTAGCGACATACCGTGTTTTTAGTGTGTACTAAATTATTTTATCAAAATTTCACCATATAAGTTCCAGGCAATGATTATAATGCCTAGGCATAAAAGTAAATCACTTTTACGCCTAAGCACAAATGTACAAAATATATTAAAACTGACATAGTGTCAAATTCAACGAACGTAACCATAGTTTCTCGATATACGTATGATTACTTACAGGGATGCTTACAAGATATTACTTTTAGATCTTTTTATATTAGCTTACTTCGGGTTTCTCTTATTACCGATTCTGAACCGTTCTAGAACTGTGATGCGTATGCGCTAGAAGGAAAAATGAAGACATTATTTCATTTGCGCATGCGCTGCAGAGTTCTAGGACGGTTCAGAATCGGTAATAACAAGAACCCGAACAAAGCTATTAATTGGAACGTTTGAAACTGTTTAAAAAATTATTTGTGGCATATGAAAAAAAAATAGCATGTTCTATTCGGAGTAAAAATGATTCTTTTTACCTCGCATGTATGCCGAACGTCCATTTCACAGCCTCGCCACAAAAAGTATCATTTTTACTCCTAATAAAACAATAAACTATTTTTTCTCTTATATCGCTAAAAAATTGTGACGTCCGGATTTTGTCCGGATTTTTCGGAAGGCTTGCCCGGGGTCGATAAGTTTTCATCTGGTAACCCTATATATTACTATCAAATACCGTTGATTAAAATGTTTTTGATTATATACTATCATAGTAATGTTATTTAGGATATGCAAACGATGCACCTCAAACAACATATTTTGGTGGACACCTGAGCAAATTTAGCAAAAGAGGAATTGTATGTATGGGAAACGAAACATCTTTTTCGGAGTGCTTGTACAATTCCGAACTTACAGGAACTTGTAAAGGAGAAGAAGTTGCTGGTGTATCCTGTACTCAGTCGTTAGCAGATCTTATCATAGGTAATAATTTAATGAGCTCTGTAAAAATTAAATTCATCAATATTAAAAAAATATAAATTTTTGCATTCCGTTTAAATTATTCCAGTATTTTAAAAACACCAGGTTGGTCAAAGTCACAACTATTTTTTTTTTCAAATAAAATAGTTCAATATTGAATGAAAATTCTATCGTCAAAAATGAGTTACGAATATCAATGACTAATGAAAAATATCTTGAACAGGTGCCAAAGACCCAATAATACGTATATTATGCAATGTATTTACATCAAAATTTCTCTATTCTAAATCCCATCAAATCAAAATGGACTTTAATTATAAAGGTGGCATACATCTATGCACTTCATGGCATAGCATTTTACCACAAAATAATGCCGGTACAAAAAAAAAATCTTCTCTGATAATAATCTTTACAGTTAATGTAAAGTTTTTTAAGAATTACATATATTCCAGTAGTACTATAATAAAAACATTTTAATTGATATTATAAAAATTTTAAAGAACAAAGAAGAAATAAACAATAATAATTGCTTTAGAAAAAACACTTAAGCCTGGTTGACACGGTCAAAGTGTACTTTGCTGAAATGCACATTGACGCTACGCGCGTCTCACTTGGACGCCACTTGGATCGTATCAACCGATTTGTAATTATAAATTTTTGATTTGGCAAATTTGTTTACAAGAAAAAAGCCACTGACAAGCTGGTTTTCGGTTTCGAATAAAATAGCATTTTACAAAAAGAACTTGGTCCTAAAGCGGACAGGGGCACATGTCCACTCAACGGCCCACATAAAAGACAAGAAATAAGTATATAATTCAATGCATTATTTTTACGTTACAATTTACACGTTCAAATATCAAGATACTATCAAATGTTCTATATATCGATAAGAGAGAGATTTTTTGATTTTATGTCCTAAAATGGGGGGCTTAAGCTTGATTTTCATGCATCCGTTATACGTTGATACGATGCACAGTGGCTCTTGCATATGTTAAAGAGCGGCCATAAGTGATTTTGGAAAAATTAAACTATATGACACACTGTTAAACTTTTTGAATAGTAGTAGCATTGGTTTAAAAAAAAACAACAACAAATTTTTTGAATAAAATTTGTAACCATGTTTTTTTTTCTCTTAAACCCATCACATTTAATTGTCTTTTTCGCTTAGTGATAGCAAATAAGAATCTAAATATTCCTGGAGGCTTTAAAAAACCCGTGATTATTATTTTTTATATTTTAAAGAAAAGGTTTTCTCTACTTTTGGACTATTACTAAGAAAGTTCTGAAATTATTATTATGTATTAATTTTTCATGTTTTTTAAACGTCGTTTTTATCCATATTTTTATAGTTTTCAAAATACCAAAAAAATACTATCGACGCTTATCGATGTTCCCTCTTATCGCAAATAATATAGTTTGAGGAATGTATTTGTTTATAAACAAAAAATGGTCTGCCGAATTCTGCCTATTCATGCGATATATTTATTTGAAGTAGTCCGTGTTTCTCAATAGACCGCAACACACAACCCTTATTTGGCTGCATTTCGGCATATGTGGAAGAAAAGTGAATGTTTAGAGCTGGATGATGAAGCCAAAGAACTCCTTTTATAGAACATATTACTGAGTTGGGTGAGAATATGTTTTCTTACATAAATATTATTTTCTACAGTACGTCTATCCGTTCTGTGGCTACTGGGTATCCGTGAGAGGGGAAACGATATTCCCTCAATGTTTTTCGTAAAAAATTAGACGACGCGTCCCATCAATAAAAATTCGACAAATTTGCAAGTAGCCAATAAAATGAGTGGGCGGAGCGATTTGCGGTGACGTACTCGTGAAGTCGACGTATAAAATAAATTGCTGTTTATTTAAATGTTTTTTGTCCGCATTCCTTTCATAGACACAGATCCAGCAGACGAACTGTACTTTTACGTTCAGAGTTGTAATGGTGGTTTAGTTTTTTTGTTTTGTGAAATATATATTTTTTCAATATTATAGGTACAGTACGTCTGTCCATTTTGAGGCTACGGGGTATCCGTGAGAGGGGAAACGATATTATCTCGATGTTTTTCGTAAAAAATTAGACGACGCGTCCCATCAATAAAAATTCGACAAATTTGCAAGTAGCCAATAAAATGAGTGGGCGGAGCGATTTGCGGTGACGTACTCGTCAAGTCGACGTATAAAATATATTGCTGTTTATTTAAATGTTTTTTGTCCGCATTCCTTTCATAGACACAGATCCAGCAGACAAACTGTACTTCAGGTTTATTTTAGTATTGTTTAAAGTTTCTTTTAAGTATGGAAATCACTTGATTTACAAAATAAAACTTTTTTACAGACATAATTAAATTATAAACACGCATATAATATATTTTTGGATCCCATTGTTAAATTAGTATCTTGTTATTTTATTTTTTCACGGGGGAACTTGATTTTTTTTTATTAAGAAAGGTCTAAACAAACAGCTAGTGATACAAGAAGTGATTTTTAAAGAATTTATAAACTTATCTCTTTCACCTTTCACATGCTCATCCAATCCAAACATTTCCCAAAACCCATCCCACACGTTCACCCTTTAAAGCAGGGGGCGTGGGGCTGTTAATGTAAGAAAAACATTTTTTGGAGTTCACCAGAAATCATTACTAAGCGATAACGGTAAATCTACAGGTGTGTACCTTTACCCATATTATTAAGTGACACGCTTTACAAAAAAATAATTTTTGCAGTCATAATTAGACCGGCGCGGCGTTTTGCTAAAATTCAATTAAAATTATAGAAAAATCTATAGATATTTTTCTTTTCGCCATAAATAAAGCAGCTGAGCTACAAATTACTTTATATTTATTACTTTTCTATTTATGACCGCTACATCCATATACCTCGATCCACTGTGCGATGGTCCGACGGTGCTCTGATTGGTCATAGTGTTTTCGCGCCACTTTTCATCCGTAAATATTTTACTTCAGCCCGTCAACGGACCCGTTCATACGATAACGGACGTTTTGACACTTTTTTGACAAATTTAATTTAACCTTAATAAAAATATAAGTAAAATAGCAAAATCGTTATGGAAACGAAAATATAAAATGACACCAACGTATATCCGATAAACGGAGGCATGAAAATGCAATAAATTTAAAAATATTATTTATTACTTTATTTTCTAACCAATCAAAGTCTTTAAATTCTACCAATAAAATTAATATCGTATCAACGTATCGTCGGACAACGGATGCATGAAAATCAAGCTTTAGTTTCGGAGATACAGGATGTAAAAGTTTCATTTTTATTTCGATTTTTACCAAATAATTTCTGAACTAACGTCGATATTTGGATGAAAATTGGTATCTAGAAGTTTTTTGACATGAGAAATTTGATTTTAATATCAATATGATACCTACTTGTAGAGGGCGCCACCTACATATTTTTTAACTGGTTTGAAGAGTAATAAATTTTCGTCCGCACCTGTATAAAACTACTGAGTAAAAAATATACATTTACGACGTTTTTTACGTAAAGGCAGTCTCTTGATTAAAGTCGCTACGAGTAATGGTTCTCGAGATATTTGGAATCGAAATTATCAATACCTGTCAGCACTGACATAAATTAAACATGTTGACAATAGTTATTAGACTGAAATCATAAATTTGAAATGATTTTGTGTTCAAAGTTCACCAGAAATTGTTTTATCATCATTTTTTCGAAAAAAAATTATGATTAATTTAAAAAAATAAAAAATTACATCATTTCAGTCAAATAACTATCTACTCAACATGTTTATTTTTTGTCAATAATGACATTACTTCCATTCTAAATATCTTGAGAACGGTTGCTCGTAGCGATTTTTACTAAGAGACATTTATTACGTAAAAACTCACGGAAATATATATTTTTTCACTCAGTAGTTTTATACAGTTACGGACGAAAAGTTATTACTCTTCAAAACAGTTCAAACATATGAGGGTGGCGCCCCCTACAAATAAGAGTCATATTTACCTCAAAATCAAATTTCTCATGTCAAAAAACTCCCAGACACCAATTTTCATCAAATATTGACGTTACTTCAGAAATTATTTGGAAAAAATCGAAATAAAAATGAAACTTCTACACCCTGTATCTCCGAAACTAAGCAATTTATGACATACATTTATACGAACTTTTTTACTTATTTTTATCTACAGATTATGCTGCCGAAGTTTCCGGAATACAGTTCGGACCACCCTGTATACACTCACCGGCACCAAAGAATCCGGCACAAAAATTGGCACCATAAAATTTTGATATATTTTAAACTTAATATATTTTGTTCTAGTGGGCCAATTTTGATGATTTTTTAAGTAATTTGTAGCTAAATTATTTGACTTTTTAGTACTTCTTTCAAAATTAAAATAGCTATCCGTCAATAATTATACGAAGGAAAACAATATGTTGATATTTTGGTGAAACATCCTGTGGAATATGTTAACAAAGCAAGGAATTAAAAAACAATTTTATCATCTAGGTACATCTTTTCTCGATAGTTAGTTTTTTGATTCATTTCAATAGCTTTATTTACTGGATATATTCGCTGCTGTAACGATTTACAGCAATTTTGGCATTGATTTTGGGTCCTCTTTAAGACACTTATAAAATAGTGTTTATTGTTTTTGAATTGTCACTGTCGTTGAAAAGACATATTATTATTATTATATATTGACATTTACTCTAGTAAAGATGGTTTTAAGTTACGAAGTGTCGGCTATTGCTGCTTTATGAATGTTTCATCTTCAATCGACTTTTGGACTTAAAACCATATCTGCTAGAATAACTGCCCAACAGACAATAATAATATGATTTTTCAAAGATAGTGATATTACATAAATCATAAACACTATTTTATTGGTCTGTTGACTAGGACCAAAAGCAAAGACGTGGTTTTAATGAAAAAAATACGAAAAATAATTAGTGTCTTCTTCAAAAGCAAATATCTCCAAAAAATAAAGCTATTGACATGAACCAAAAAAACAAACTATCGAGAAAAGATACAACTAGATGTTAAAATCATTTTTAAATTCCTTACTTTGTTAACGTACTCCATAGGGTGTTTTAAACTTTCACCGAAATTAATTTTGGAAATAATACCATGTGAGCTATACTGCCTGTAGTTTTAAGATTTCGCTTAAATGTTGATATTACTCTAACAATCGAACTAGTTCACGATGAAAAATAAAGAAAGTTCATAATTTGTCATATTATATTTACAGTCGTTAACAATTATTTTGACTAATTTAATATAGCGATTTATTTAAAATTCATTAATAATTACAAAATTTCAGACTATAACGAGTTAATTACATCTTCATACCTAGAGGACGCACCAATGCTTGTCTTACAATGTGCTATGGAAGAAAACTGCGTGGCTTCAACGGCTTATGAAATACAGAAGGAAAATGAGCACTGGCCTCCCAAACAAGACGACTCTTGAGATTTACCGCTAAAATTTTTAATGGAGGAACAGCGGACTTCAGACCGTCCATTCCAAAACATTTATGGGAATGGCATATGTGTCACATGTAAGATTTCTTTATATAAAAATTAACTTGCGCATTGTAAAAACAGCGCTTGAACAAAATAGTGCACCTTCCATATCTATGTTAGATCTTTGATATATCCAAATGACTGGCAACGTTATATTTTATGCAAACTTATGATTTAGACAGTTAAAAATATCTAATCAATTTTCAATAACGATTATATACAGGGTGGACCCAATTGTATTCCGAAAACTTCGGCAACATATTCTGCAAATAAATAAAACATTTCTTATAAATGTATGTCTTAAAATGCTTAGTTTCCGAGATACAGGGTGTAGAAGTTTCATTTTTATTTCGATTTTTTCCAAATAAATTCCGAAGTAACGTCAAGATTTGGATGAAAATTGGTGTCTGGGAGTTTCTTGACATGAGAAATTTGATTTTGATGTCAATATGACTCTTACTAGTAGGGGGCGCCACCTACATGTGTTTAAAGTGTTTTGAAGCGTAATAACTTTTTGTACATACCTGTATAAAACTAGCTAGTTTAAAAATGTACATTTACGATGCGTTTTACGTAAAAAAGGTTTCTTGGTAAAAATCGCTACGAGTAATGGTTCTCGAGATATTTGGAATCGAAATTATTAATACCTGTTATCATTAACATAAATTAACATGTTGACTAATTAGTTATTAGACTAAAATCATAAATTTGCAATGTTTTTGTGCCAAAAGTTCAACAGGAACAGTTTTATCATCATTTTTTCGAAGAAAAAGTTATGATTAGTTTAAAAAATAAAAAGTTCCCAAATTTCTCATTTCAGTCAAATAATAATTATTTACTCAACATGTTCATTTTTAGTCAATAATGACATGTATTGACTATTTCCATTGTAAATATCTTGAGAACGGTTGCTCGTAGCGATTTTTACCAAGAGACATTTTTTACGTAGAAAATCACGGAAATGTATATTTTTTCACTCAGTAGTTTTATACAGGTACGGACAAAAAGTTATTAGTCTTCAAGACAGTTAAAACACATGTAGGTGGCGCCCCCTACAAATAGGAGTCATTTTGACATTAAAATCAAATTTCTCATGTCAAAAAACTCCCAGACACCAATTTTCATCCAAATATTTACGTTACTTCAGAAATTATTTGGAAAAAATCGAAATAAAAATGAAATTTCTACACCCTGTATCTCCGAAACTAAGCATTTTAGGACGTACATTTATATGAACTTTTTTACTTATTTTTATCAGTAAAATATGCAGCCGAAGTTTCCGGAATACAGTTCGGACCACCCTATATACGAAGAATGGACTACGCCGTCTGTATCTCAGAAACTACTTATCGTATATCTTCGGGAAAAAAATTGTAATAAGTAAATCGGTCAAGAGAAATCTCTGGAAATTATTTTCAAGTTCGAAAAATGTCCGCTAGGGGGCAAATCTGTGATGGCCAATCAGAAAACATGATTTTTCTCAAAAATATGCAGGTGAAGAGGTGTTTTTATTGTTACTATTGTAATTAATGGACAATTTGTAATTTTTATTAATAGCGCATTTTATATCTGCTAAAATAAACTAGTGGCGAAGGTTAAACTTGCTTTTTTTTAAATAAGGATAACTCTGATTTAGGTTAACCGATTTAAACAAACTAGGGCTCGTTTAAAAGAGCGCTTTTCTTTCTTAATAATCTCCAGTATACATTTTGTTTTCATAGATTTTTGCGTGGTAGCTAGCATCACAACAGATATTGCGCATTTGCATAAAAAAATTAAATAGTAGGTTATGTTTCTTTTTGCACAGTTAAATAGAGCACAACATTTCCAAAATATCAGTGCAAACTGCAACTTTCTATCTTCTCTCTAACGGGCGATATTAAGAGAACAAATCATGTTAAACTGCCGTCTAGGATTATTAGGTCTAAAAATTATAGTAGTAGGCTAGATTATAAAATACGCTATATGAAAAAAATTACAAATTTTCCACTGAATACAATAGCGATATTAAAAATACCTCTTCACCTGCATATTTTGGCCATCACAGATGCGCCCCTTAGCGGACAATTTTTTGAACTTTAATAATGTTCAGCGATTTCTCTAGGCAGATTTACTTATTACCGTTTTTTCCCAAAGTTATATGATAAATAGTTTCTGAGATACAGCCGGCGCGGAGTCCATTCTTAGTTGGCCAACCGGTACAATACATATTTATCAATTTTAACTGGATTAAAAATAAAAATGTCTTTAATTTATGGTCTGATAACTTCGGGTTCTCCATGAAGCCAGAAAAGTGAATTAAATATATCAATAACTCATGAAAAACTCTGATTGACAGCGTGTTATCTAAAGTTCACTTTCAGTGCAGTTTATTAAGATAACAGGATGGAAAGCAAAATTATCTGGTTAAATTAAAATAAATAATAATACTTCTTTACACTATGTTCATCATCATCATCATCAACCAGCCACTAAAGTCCACTGCTGGACGTAGGCCACCATCGTTTACTTCCATAACTCCCTATCTTGAGATATTTGCATCCAGTTACTGTGGAGCCTTAAGTCGTCATGCCATCTGGTTGGAGGACGGTCTCTGCTCCTGAATGCATCATATCTTGATCTCCATTCTATTATTTTCTTCGTCCATCGGTCATCGTTTAGTCTTGCAATATGCCCAGCCCAATTCCATTTGAAAGTAATTATTTTCTCTCCCCCGTATTTCGATATTCGGTACTTTGTCTCTCAGAGATAGCCCCAATATTGTTATTTCCATTGCTCTTTGTGTTATTCTGATTTTGCTTACTGTTTTCTTGGTTAATGTTATGGGCTCCGCACCATACATGAGAGCAGGTAGTACGCACTGATTGAATACCAATCACTATCTAATACCAATACTATACCGGGTGCATCTCAAAAGTGGCAAAAACGAGATTTGGTATGTTAGTATATGACATAAATTAGGATTAGTTGACGTATTCAATTGTTTTCGGTCACTTCCGGTTTCACCGGAAATGACTACAACTTTTGATTTTTAAAAGGCACCCCCGGTATTTTTTTTTTTACTTTATTCGAGAGAAAATGTCATTCTGAATAGAATGACATATCATATGTCAACTTTTGACATTTTCGCATATGGTTTATTTGAAATTAAAACTTGCGGTTCATAACGGAAATTTGACTTTGATTGAAAAAATTCTTTTTCCAAATATGCTAATGAGCCACAATCATTCCGTTTGAAAAAATTGAGATATGATTAAAAATACGATTAGACCATTTTCTAACTGGCCAGGACAAGACACTAAAAACATTAGACGATCGAATCTATTTTTCCAAGGCTCCTTGATGAAAAATTAGTGTTTTTAACATAGCCATGGCACCCTAGATTGAATTTTAAAATACAATTTTTTATTAAGCGATAATGTCAAAAGTTGACATATGATATGTCATTCTATTCAGAATGTCATTTTTTATCGAATAAAGTAAAAAAATACCGAGGGTGCCATTTAAAAATCAAAAGTTGCAGACATTTCCGGTGAAACCGGAAGTGACCAAAAACAATTGAATACACCAATCAATCATAATTTATGTCATATACTCACATACCAAATCTCGTTTATTTATCTGAAAAAATAAAAAAGTTATAGGGGGTGAGCCACTTTTGAGATGTACCCGGTATAATACCAAACACACGGTATTCAACCAATAAACTGTCGATTTATGTTAAAAAGTTAAATAATGCATTTTTACCTTATTTATGAAAATAAGTCTTGAGTATATTATATTTTTAGAAAACTCATAATAAGGCAAATGAAATTTAAAAAAAGACAGGATGTCCCATTTAAAAAACATAAGTTTGAGAACGAAACATAATATTTCGAAAATGACAGATTCCAGCGAAGAACTAGTTACATCACTGGATTTTATGTGAAAAACTCTACGGGACGTGTCATTAACGCACGTGTCAGAGTAGCATACTAGTAGTAGTATGCTACTCTGACTGTGTCATACTACTACTAGTATGCTACTGTGTGTAGGATCTTTAGTTTCATAAAAAAGTAGCATAATAATGTACTACTCATAAACGAGAAACCCCGTAAAACACACGAAAATGGGATACCCTATAGAGGGTGTCAAACTTTTTTTCCCAGTAGCATCCCAGAAGCGTGGTAACCGATATTTTTGACAACAAAATTGTGTCATAAATTGTGTCATAATGTGACATAAAATTGGGACATATAAAATCTTGAAGCTTGAGCGAGGCTCGTAACCAATGTCGTTAAGTAAATCGACCATCAAATTATTCACGTTTTTAGAGAATTTCTTAAAAACGTGGTTTCATTCAAAAACGTTTTATTTTTTGCAGGTCAAAATGCCACATAATCAAAAACTATTTCAAAATTCCTGATATTTTTAATATTCTCTGCGGCGCTATAGAAGTTTTGTCTTACTGGTCTGTGTAGTTGTTTCAATTTAGTCTTATCGTAAAAACTATTATTTTTGACGCACGTTTGTATTATTTTTCTGTCGAAATTATGTTCCCTTGGTCTTGCCTTGGTCTGGTCGTTCTAAATCAAGAGTCTGTATTTTAACGGGCAAAACATTTATCTTATGAACTTAATATATTTATTATTTTAGGCATTTTCATAGCATGGAAATTTTTGCAACATTTGACATCTTTAATCACAACAATCAGAAAGTTGCGGAGGGTCACAAAGCATCGTTCTGTTTAGAAGATAATCAGTGTATACCTGGCGTTGAACCGAGATATGCCTGTGCTAACTACGGAGACCAAGGAATATCCGTAAATTGTTCGGATATCTACAAACATACCGTCGATTGTCAGTGGGTCGATATATCTGATTTAGAACCTGGCAACTATAAGATAAAGGTGACCGTTAATCCGGAATATAAAGTTCCCGAAATGACGTATGATAACAATGCTGCTGTTTGTGATTTCATTTATGACCGATCCAGGGGAATTGTGAAGAATTGTTATTTAACAAGTCCATGATTTGTATTTAGAGTAATAAATAATTTAATGTTAAGTGTAAAAATTGTTTTGCTATCATATTAAAAATAAATGTTATATAAGGAGTGTAATTCTTGCATATTATTTGATGTACGTTTGGCCAGTTTGGCGGTCGATACAGGCGAAACACAAAAAGTATATTTTTACTCCGAATCGAATTTCCTATTTTTTTTTAAACGTCGTAAATTATTTTTTAATTGCATAAAAAGTAATACTTTGTGGGTAATTTTACAGGGTGGGTGCATCGGCGTTGGAAACAGGAAATGTCATGCAAATTTTGAACTGCCCAAATATTGGCTCTCCTGTTGATTTTACAGCGAAGTCGTAAATAGGTTTTTTAAAGGTCTGCGTATGCCGAATACACATGCCAAATTTGAACAATTTTAAAGAAGTTGATTTTAACTAATTTAAGAAAAACTTGAGATAAACCAAACAAAAAAATTTAACATATTTCTTTAAATTCAAAACATTCAATTTTAAGACACTCTGGCTAGTGATTCTGTAAACATTTTCTGTCTAGTGACTCATCAATCGTATACAAATAGCATAGGCTAGACAGGAAATTTCCTGCTACGGAGCTTACAGAATCCCACTGCTGTATACATAAATAAAAATATTGATTTTTTAAAATATTATTCGCAAACTAGGGAGAGGGAAATCAGGCGACGACCAGAGACAATAGTTCTTAAATAATAGCCATAATAGCTTTTAGACTACCATTCGACACGCATTCATGTTATTTTGGTTCGTAAGTTTTGTGACAATAAGGGCCTTGTTGAGTGTACTAACAATTTTCGACCGTGCATGGGCGAATATCTTAGATCGCAACAGGGCAAACAAAAACAATAAATAGAATAACTTAAAATCTATAGATATTGGCACCAAATCTTCAAGTTTAGCTTCGAGACTCGCAACAAGAGACCTTAGTACCTGCGGGTAGGGACCTGCTAAACTAACAAAAAAACCTCTTCCGTTATGAATGTAATAAATGTGGCATGTTTTGAATGTATTAAATTACCAACCTAGGCAAGGCCGGCGGAAGGAAAATATTGAGCCCGGGCAAGTACCATATCTGGCGCCCCCCCCCCCTATTAGTTATCTCTCTTTCCTTCAATACTATACTTTAACTACAACTAAGCATATTTATGCTACTTTAACAATAAATTTTTACTTAAAGATACTTCAAAATTATTCTTCTCTTGGTTCAATCTTAGTCTACGGTTGCTGTTTTTTCTACACCGGGTGCGTCTCATAAATGACTCGCCCTTATAACTTTTTTATTTTTTGAGATAAAAAATCGAGATTTGATATGTTTTTCGTGTCTTATCCAGGGGCGCTATTCTGTACACGGCATCGACAATCGTCGGTATCGGTAAGTTACGACAGCTCTCGATACGTATTTGTATATAGTAAAAATGTGTTAATTGTTGTTGTCACAGTTACCGATCGGTCCTATGGCAGATATCGCAAATTTGTACCGACGAAAATCGGTATCTCTACCGTGCCCTTGTCAACCTCACGGTAGAAATACCGAGAGTCGTCGGTACAAATTTGCGATATCTGTCATAGGGCCGATCGGTAACTATGACAACAATCATTACGACGCTCATTGGCCATACGTACCGATAGCTGTCGGTAACATGCCGATACCGACGATTGTACAGAATAGCGCCCCAGGCCGGTTAAAACATGCCCAAATTGTATTTTTAATCATATCTTAATTTTTTCAAATGGAACAAGGGTGGCTCATTTGTAAATTTGGAAAAAGCATTTTTTACGAATAATTTGAAACCACACACCTGGTATTTCGAGTCAAATTGTTACAAACTGTTATCCGTTATGAACCGCATGTTACAATTTCAAATTAATCATATGTGTCAAAAGCTGACATTTTATTCAAAGTGTCATTTTCCATCGCATAAGGTAGAAATATACCAAGGGTGCTATTTAAAAATAAAAAGTTGTAGTAATTTCCGGTGAAACAGGAAGTAACCAAAAACAATTGAATACGTCAATTAATACTAATTTATGTCGTATACTAACATACCAAATCTCGTTTTTTCATCTGAAAAAAGTTATAGGGTGAGACAATTTTGAGAAGCACCCGGTATATAGAGCTATAAGAAATAGAATTCCAACTTCGGCAGTCTCGTTCTGGTATAAGTGATCTTTGAAAACATTAGTATTTTGTTACAAGCAGTTGCATTATTTTTCTATATGAATTTAAGAAAATTTTCCTTTCTTTTTCACAATCAATTATTTCGTGCAGAATCAGTATATGATCAGACAGTTTTGTATAAAGGCTGAGGAAAATGAGGATCAGCCAGTGTTTGAGATGAATTTCTTTGTGAGAAATTTTTCTTTCTGTAATTTCTCTAATGAGAAAATTCTACGATCCTGGTACCATTTTCCGTGTATTACTACATATTCAATCCGGAACAATCAAAACCACCAAAAAATTGATATCTTTTCCCACTACTGTTAATAAATATATTTAATTAATGAGGCAAACTAATAAGCTTTTTTTGATAATAAGGATATCGGGATACTCTTCAGCTTCTTGCGAATGAATATTATGCATATAATTTTAGGGCATCAGCCATTAATAACAAATAAAGGTTGTGGGTAGTAGAAAAAGTGCGACTTTGAGCGGTCAGTCTAAAACTGTCAATTTTGCTGGCCCTTGACCCAAAAACAGTTAGAAATTTATAAAAACGAGAATTATAGGTAGAAAGAAGGCTTATTTACAAAAAGTTGTTAGTTTTTGAGTTATAAGTAAAATACCACGAACAAATCAAATTTATATTTTTTTATATTATTTTGTTTAAGATTCTTCCACAAAAATGAATTCGCAAATCCCAGTTTCGAATAGAGCATCCAAAAAACATATAGAAAAGAAGAAATCAAAACTATCCCAAAGCTTTCGTGCTAAGCATTTTTTTGAGCATAATTTCAGTAAACTATAATAGGATACGTCTAGGATATAGTAGTGTTTATAATATTTAGTCAGATATTTCTTCCCTATGTGGGTATGGTAATTGCTAATATTTTAATGTGGAAATTGATAGTATCGATTACTATTTGTTTATATTACTCTTTTTAAATATTTTAATTGCCGTCGTGGCGCCCCTCGCAAAAAAAACAGTACTTATACTCCAAACTATATATTATCAGCAGAATAAATTTTACATAACAATCCATCATTTAGTAATAATATTAAAAAATTGATTACTTATCACTAGACTAAAATAATAAAACTAAAAATAACAAAATTTAAAATATCAATAAATATAATTCTTAAAAATAAAAACTCAATATAAGAAATGTAAAACACGAGAACCTTAAATTAAATTTTATGGCCACTTTTTTTCAAATTCAGTCATTAGAGATTATATCCCCATTTATCGATGTACTTTTTTAACCTTTGAAAGACTTTGAAACAATAACAGAAAAATTTATCAAAAGTTATTTTACCTCTAAAATTGCTACATTTTTTTTAACTGCTACATCTTTTTTAAATAAAACATCACTATAACTTTATGAAACACTTGTTAAACCTTTAATAGACTATATAAATATCCTAGGAAAATAGCAGTGTATCATGGTACAAAGAAAACAAGGTATGATCGATAGCGGTTCCAATTTCGTTAAGTTTGCGCATACCACCTGTGACGTCATGCGCCAGAAAAAAAATATCCATATTGTTCAATTGCCACTAATAAAAAAAAGACCTAAAATAGGGAAGAATTAGGATATAACCCCAAAAGTTATGTCAAATCATGGAGCTTGACATTTGAAAAATTATTTTCACATTTATTATGTCATCTGTTTGACAATCTGAAATTGGCGCGCGGAGTTTGCCGACCAATGGTGCCGTTTATCACCTGTGACGTAATGACCAACCTGCGCAATATCATACCTTGTATTCTTTGTATCATGGCAGTGTATTCATATTTGACATTGACATATCAGAGAACAATTCAACTAAATTTATTTATTAGACGCTAAGAATATGAGAGAGCAACTGTTCACATATATTGAAAAACTTGTCACTAATTTTTTTGATATTCAGTAATATAAAACTGTACTTCGACTAAAAAAAAACTAAACAGTAAATATAATTGAAGTGCATACCTTTTAGTACTCTATATGTATGTTAAATTTGTATTATTCTTTTGGAACTAATCTAACTTTGGTTTCAACGTGTCAGTTCTTCAACAGCCTAGACTCGACCTTTTGTAAGTCATGCAGAACCTAAAATAAATTATAAAAGTTAATTTTAACATCGATTTATAGGGATATTCACGCTATTCGAAGCGGAGAATTGTAGCCAAATGATTAGATTTTTAGAAATTAGGTAGTTACAGGATTACCAGACACCTACAATTTAAATTTATTCTCATAAGGTACAGAGTGTCCCAAATAAATAAAAAATACTAAAGTATTTTTAATAAAAAACACCCTGTATATTATTACATTTTTAGTTTAGACAATTAAAAAAAATGGAAATTTGACCTAAAATCTTACCGTTTTAACATTTTGGTGGAAATGTAGTATCAATTTTAACTCTTCATATCTCTAGGCGCAGGTATTTAAGTTTTTAAAAGCCAAATTCCCACAAAGTTTTTGTGTACTAAATATTGTGTTGTAATAATAAAAAATATACTAACTTATACAGGGTGTTTAAAAATTACTTCTGAATAATTACTTGATTTATATTTTGAGAGTATGGAATGTAAAAAAGATCTATTAAATTGCTATTGAATCATAACACTTTAGTTTTTTAAAGAAGTAACCAATTTACAAAAAGTATGGATACTAATATTGCTGATAATCTTAGCTCATTTAAAGGGTAAGGGAACAAACAAACGTCACAAAACTGACTTTTAGAGAGAAAACTAATTGTTGGATTTTGTATTATGTTTATCTGTCACGCCACTGATCACATTTAATAATTTATTTGAGTACACCACTGTACACATTTTTTGACATAAGTCATTCTTGATAGGTTCTTGGTAGACGATAAAAGCACACGGTGACGAATTACGTTATATTTATAAAATCAGTGTAAATATTGTTAGTTTGTAATACCCAAATAAATAATACAGTCCACTAGAAGAGAAGTTTAATTGGTACCATAACCAGCGCAAAAGATACAACATAATTTTTGGTCCAAACGAGCCGGATTTCAAGGTACAATTCAGTTATTTCCGGATCAGATCAAGGACGACGCCGTGCAGCCGTGCGACGCCGCATTAGCAAGTATTCTACCCACAATACACGAAGAAAATCGTATCCTTACCTGGCGCATTCGCCATATATCAACATATTATCGCCATCTTAATTGCCTTGCGCAGTCACCATTTTTAAGAATACACAGATATCAAGTTTAGTCCCAGCGCATTCGGCAGATTCAAGAAACTGAAAAATATCCATTTCATCATTTTGTCCGCAAGCAGACCATTTACCATATATTATCAAGCATATCATCAATCAGTTATCATATTATCAAGAAGCGATCAAAGTCATTCACCACATTCATCATCATTCATCATTTCTGCATTACATCAAGTTCGTCACCAACAACCAACATCAGTTCAAGCAATCTACCAAGCAGCTCAAGCAACATAAACCAACCAAAAGCAAGCACATACATGTAAGTCACTTCCTTTATTTCTCCTTAACATTCTCATTCCTTTAACATTCTCAATTCTAGTTATCAGTCTATTAAAACAATAACAAACAATAATCATAATAATATAAAAACCTAATCATATCAATACGTATAAACATATCATACAAAATTAATCATTTAATATTTCAATCATGTCAGAACTAAAGAAATTGAAAGCTAAGCGTACCAGCCTGTTCAATCAACTGGAGCGTCTTAAAGAATTTGTTATCAGCTATACAGATAGCAGCGCATCTCAACTTCCAGAACGCATCAAGCGGGGTGAGGAGCTATGGGATTTATTTGACACTGTACAATTTGATATTGAAACTTCAGACAAGTCAGATATACAAGTAAACGAGCGCGTAAGATTTGAAGACATTTATTTTAACGTTATATCTCAAGCGAAAAGTTTAATTCCAACTCATGCTGCTGATGTCACTAATACTGCAAATTCTGATTTACTTACTGATCAATCATTTCAAAATTCAAACAACATAAAGTTGCCTGCAATTGAACTCCCCCAAATTTGGAGGGTCTTATGAGGATTGGTGGCAATTTTATGAAACGTTTAATTCTTTAGTTCATAGTAATCAAACTTTAAATGATATTCAGCGTTTTTACTATTTAAAATCATATTTAAAAGATGAAGCAGCAGATGTAATTCATTCACTTGAGGTCACCTCCTCAAATTACATGGTAGCTTGGAATCTTCTGAGGAACGTTTTGAAAATAAGCGTTTAATCATTCATAGTCATGTGTGCGATCTTTATTTGAATTAAGTCCGTTGGATAAGGAATCAGTAACAGGTTTAAAAAGAATGCTGAATGATATTCGAAAGAACTTGAGAGCTCTAAAAGCGTTGAAACAACCGACAGATCAATGGGGTACATTGTTAATACATTTAATTTCAGCTAAGCTAGACGCAACGACAAGACGCGAATGGGAATCGCATAGTCTTACCATAAAGACAGATTTACCTGATATGAATGATTTTTTGAGCTTTCTTTCAGATAGATGTCAGCTATTAGAGACGCTAGAGAGCAAGCTAGACAAAATAGACACAAAACAAGGCAACAAGCCACGCATTTCAACAAAGCCAGGAGGACATGCAATGGTGGCAAACATCAATCAACTCATATGTACTTTTTGTAAAGGCAATCATACTATTAACAACTGTGAGTCATTTTTATCAAAGCCTGTGTCCACGCGTATCAACGACATAAAGGCACTACATCTGTGTTTAAACTGCCTAAGATCGAATCATAGTCTTGAAAATTGCAGAGCAGGAACGTGCAAAAAGTGCGGAAGGCGTCATAACACACTGTTACACATTGAACGTCAACTGCAATCAGGTAGTTCATCGAACGATCGTTCAGATCACAATCATCATACCAACAGGTCAAATTCCCAACACAACACTCAAAATAGATCAGGATCATCTAGAGGAATTGAAAGTTATACCAGTCAACAAAATCAGATAACCATATCAGGTTATGAAAACAACGGAGACAGGGAGGTTCTGTTATCTACTGCTATTGTAGACATCATGGATTCAGCTGGTAAATATCATAAAGCCAGAGCGTTACTCGATTCAGGATCGCAATCATGTTTTATTTCTTCATCACTTGTAGATAAACTACAGTTACAGAGAACACCTGTGAACGTACCAGTCTCTGGAATTAACCAAATTAGCACATTTATAACAAATAGAGTATCAGCAATTATACAATCACGATTCAATAATTTTTCTGTTAAACAATCATTTTAGTTCTAGACAATATAACAAATCATATTCCATCAGTTAGTTTTAGCAAATCTAGATTTGAAATTCCGAACAACATACAACTAGCAGATGAAAACTTTAACATAGCCAGTACAGTTGATTTATTATTAGGCGCTGAAGTATTTCATGAACTTCTTTGTGAAGGCAGGATTAATTCTAAACCAAACTCACCTATCTGGCAGAAAACGAAGCTAGGATGGATAGTTGCAGGATCCATACCAGAGAGGCAAGGAAATAAGATCATATGTAATCTAGCAACTAATGATATCAACAAAGAAATTCAATCACAACTACAAAAATTTTGGGAAATCGAAAATTATCCCGAAAGAACCACATCATACACAAAGGAAGAGCAGTATTGGAAGATTTGTTCTCTGAAACCACAGAAAGAAATTGTAAAGGACATTTTATTGTAGAGTTACCTTTTAATCATAAAAAACATGATCTAGGTGAATCAAAAGAGATAGCACTAAAGAGATTTAGTCAAATTGAGGGACGATTTAAGACAAACTCTGAATTTCAAGAGCAATATCATAATTTCATGAAAGAATATGAGGATTTAGGCCACATGTCCTTAATCGACCAAGAAGATGATGAAAACTTAAATTTTATTCCACATCATGCTGTACAGAAAGACACCAATAAGTTTAGAATAGTATTTGACGGATCGGCAAAAACATCTAATGGTATTTCTCTCAATGATATTCTCATGGTAGGACCTAAAGTCCAAAGAGATTTATTTGATATTGTTTTACGATTTCGACAGTATAAATTTGTATTAACTGCAGACATAGTCAAGATGTACAGACAAGTATATGTCAAACCAGAACATAGAAAATTTCAGTGCATTGTGTGGAGATACAATAAGTCAGATCAGATACAAACATATAAACTCAATACTGTAACATATGGAACAGGTTCTGCACCTTTTCTGGCAGTGCGATCACTACACCAACTTGGGATTGAAAACGAAGTTAAATACCCAACTGCCAGTAATATCATTAAAAATGATTTTTATGTCGACGATGTTCTTACAGGATCAAACAGCCTACTGGAATTGTCTCAGACAAAACAAGAACTTGAACAAATTTTACAATCAGGTGGATTCACATTGTCAAAGTGGAAATCAAATCATTCCTCACTTATTGAAGAACATGACACAGGTGAGAAAACAATCTCTGATAAAATTCAGAAAACTTTAGGTATAATCTGGGATGCCACCTCAGATACCTTACAATATTCATTCAATCAAACAAATACGAACAATCGGATCACTAAGCGAACTATTCTATCAATGGTATCGAAAATTTATGACCCTATGGGATTGATAGGACCAGTTACAGCAAGAGCAAAGAGTTTTTTACAGCAACTGTGGTTATTATCCTTATCATGGGATGATGAAATTCCTGCAACACTGAATCAAGAATGGTCTCACTATAGCACACAACTATGCGAAATCACTAATATCAAAATTCACAGACAAACAATTTGCAGCAATCCAGTTAAGATTGAGCTACATGGGTTCAGCGATGCTAGTGAAAAAATATACAGAGCAACAATTTATATTCGATCAACCAATCAAACAGGTCAACATACCATTAATCTTATTTCAGCAAAATCAAAGGTAGCACCAATAAAAACGCTAACAATACCTAGGCTTGAACTTTGTGGTGCATTAATATTATCAAGATTAATGCAGTCTGTTTTAAATTGTTTATCGGTACATATTGATAAAATCTACTACTGGACAGATTCATCAATAGTTTTAGCTTGGTTAGAATTGGAACCTTGTAACTTGCAAGTGTTTGTAGCAAACCGTATTAGAGAAATACAAGAAATCACAGAAAATACTAAAGGTGTATGGAATCATGTGTCAACAGAGTGTAACCCAGCAGATATTATATCCCGTGGTGCAACACCGTACGAACTGAGTCATTCAGAACTATGGTGGTATGGACCAAAGTGGTTGAGAGAGAATTTCGATACATGGCCTTCAACACACACTCAACTCGCCACAGAAGAAATTCCTGACAAGAAAAAGTCATCAATAGTATGTTTTAGCAAGCAATTAGACACCACTTTATTAACAAGATTTTCATCACTTATGAAACTCCAAAGAGTCACAGCATACATTTTCCGATTTAAACATAATATATCAAAAACAACTATCAAGCTAACCGGAGAACTAACTGTTGCTGAGCTACAGAATAGTTTATGGTTCTTATTAAAACTTGTGCAGCAAGAATGTTTTGCAGCAGAACTACATGCATTACAGAATGGCAGATGTATTCCCAAACAAAAGCAAACTACTAAGCTTAAACCCATTCTTAGATAACAACAATATTATCCGAGTAGGAGGAAGATTAAAACATGCCAAAGATATTATCTATGAACAAAGACATCCGATAATCCTTCCGGGTAAACATCATTTTACTAAGCTTATTATCAGACATGAACATTATAAAATGCTTCATGCAGGAACTCAAACCCTATTAGCTACTATCAGAACGAGGTATTGGCCTTTATCAGCAAAAAACACTATTAAAGGCATACTAAGAACATGTATTGTTTGTTTTAAACAAAAGGCCAGCAATGTAACACCTATAATGGGTAACTTGCCTATACACCGAGTTACGCCATCAAGACCTTTTCAGAATTGTGGAGTGGATTATGCGGGTCCATTTAACATAAAACTACATAAATACCGCGGTAATCGAACAGTCAAGGGTTACTTATGCATATTTATATGTTTTTCAACAAAAGCTTGTCATTTAGAATTGGTAAGTGACCTCAGCAGCGAATGTTTTTAAACTGTTTAAAGCGTTTTATATCCAGACGTGGAAAACCTACCAATATCTATAGCGACAACGGCACAAATTTCGTCGGTGCTCAAAATAACTTACAAGAATTTTTTAACTTTATTAAATCAAGACCTGTTCATACCTCATATACAGATTACTTAACTTCTGAATTTGTACAGTGGCATTTTATTCCTGCACGATCGCCTCACTTTAGTGGGTTGTGGGAAGCTGCAGTCCGCACTGCTAAATATTATATCAAACGAGTTCTAGGTAATTTAAATTTAACGTTCGAAGATTTTTCTACAATCACTTGTCAGATAGAAGCATGTATGAACTCACGACCTATTCATCCTTTGTCAAATGATCCTTGCGATTTTTCCGCACTGACTCCTGGACACTTCCTAATTGGTTCCCCCCTTTCTTCCCTACCCGAGAGTGACTTACGGGACACACCAACAAATAGATTATCAAAGTATCAGCAGTTTGCCCAGGTGCTCCAACATTTCTGGACCAGATGGTCAAAAGAATATATTTCCACACTCCAAGAACGGGGCAAGTGGAGAATCAACCAAAATCATCAACTGAGCATTGGATCTCTGGTTCTACTGAAAGAGGACAACCTTCCCCCTCTCAGATGGAGGTTGGGGAGAATAGCATTGCTTCATCCAGGGTCTGATGGTGTTGTGCGCGTTGTGACGGTGCGCACATCGTCTGGTGAGGTGAAGAGATCAGTGACAAAAGTTTGTGTCCTACCAGTGGAAGAGGATGGAAGAGAGCTGTGACCGCATAATGACATTATATTAATCTGAATGTTTATTTCGTGCTTATTATCACACCATATATGTTTTTTAAATCATGTTTTTCTTAATGTTCATTGTTTAACTTAATGTTCATTGTTTTCCTCTTTTTGTTTAACTATCTAAGATAGTTCAAGGCGGGCGGTATGTTGGATTTTGTATTATGTTTATCTGTCACGCCACTGATCACATTTAATAATTTATTTGAGTACACCACTGTACACATTTTTTGACATAAGTCATTCTTGATAGGTTCTTGGTAGACGATAAAAGCACACGGTGACGAATTACGTTATATTTATAAAATCAGTGTAAATATTGTTAGTTTGTAATACCCAAATAAATAATACAGTCCACTAGAAGAGAAGTTTAATTGGTACCATAACCAGCGCAAAAGATACAACACTAATAAAATGTTGTCAAATATCATGTTAAAGTACAAAAAATATTACTGTATGCGTTATTATTTTGACCTCGTTTGATGTATTCAGTTTTTTTCCATAACAAGGGGCCGTCCTCTGCAGGAAACGCTGCGACCTGTGAGGCCTACTGTATTTGTCCCCTTTCTATATCTGCACCCATTCTCCTATCCCTGTGCCCTGCATTAACTTATGCAGGTCCTTGATAGGATATAAGCATAGTTCCTCCGGTTCTAGCCTAGCTTTCCCAAATAAAAAGTGTCGCTTGCGATCCAGAGCCTCGCAATGACATATCATGTGCTCCGCTGTTTCAGGATCTTTATCGCAGAGTCTGCAGTAAAGACTTCCTTGATACAGGTTGATCTTGTTCAAGTAACACTTGACAGCCATGTGTCCTGTGAAGAGGCCTGTTGTAATCCAAACTTTATTCCTGCTAAGCATTAGCAGTTCTTTTGCGGTTTTAGAGCTAGGTCCTTGGATAAAAGCCTTGCTGTGCCTGTGCCTGATCCAGAGTTTTAATGCACTACGGGCCATACATTTGGGTATTCCCAGTACTAGCTCTGAACCAAGATAGGATGCCGATGATCCTTGCCTAGCTAGCTCATCGGCTTTTTCGTTGCCCTGGGTGGCAACGAAAAAGTCGATCCTGTAAATCGATCCTGAAAAGTACTCTGTCCTTCGTGCCAGAGCTCCCAGTTCACCTAGGCATTATATTGATGAGCTTACCTGAGCTCTTCTATTGTTTTCGCACATTATAGAATGGCGAAGATTTCTGTCTGGAATACGGTTGAGTATTTACCCAAGGAAAAGGATAAGCTTACTCTTGGTCTTTCCCCAAATACTCCGGCTCCTGTTCCTTCAGCGGTCTTTGACCCGTCTGTATACCAGGTTAGTCCATCCTGAAGGAATGTTATATCTGTCCACGTTCCCCTATCCGTTGTATTCAGTTACAATTTAGCATATATTCTCAACACAGCTTAAGTTGATTACTTTAAAATTCCTACAAAATGGACACTGTTGGTTTTCCCCTTACCCTTTATTTGTAAAAACTATTTAAATATTTCTATACATTTAAAAAATTCCACTGCACTTTTAGCTTTACAAAGTTAAATACACCTACAGGAATAAATTAATAATAAAAATTGAAGGGTCCAGGGGAAAAACATGATAAGCGCCATTTCACTGATTTCACAAGAGGGCACTGAACGGCTGCTAGTTATCAGGTTCTTGCCGTGTATTCTATATTTTTACTAGGCATAGATCATAGAATTTAACAACTTATTGCCCTGCAGAGTTTATACATTTTCTAAGGACCAGTTAGACCTACTATAATATTAAAAAATCCTAAAATTAAGAAATTGGCGCTTATCAAGTTTTTCCTCAATTGTTAATGCCTTTTCACAACAATGTAAATAATTGAAAAACAAAAAGATTAAGTGAGCTAAGCTCTAATAAAATGTATTTTTATTTTAATCGTAGAAACAAAGAGTATACTAATATACAGAGTTTTCCATTAAATAAATAAAACTCCGATATTTTGTATTTATTTCTGACACAACTTAAAATTATTTTAAATTGCATCTAGTCCTTTAATGACCCATTAGCTACAATACTCCGCAACGAATAACGTGTAGAGCTCTGTATATTCAAAGAACATTAAGTTGTTATTAGAATTTTTTTCAATCCAAAGGCAATCCAAAAAGTTTATTTTGGACAATAGTTTAAATTACAGTTGGGGGTTGGAACCTTTGGTGCTACAACAGCAAAATAAAACACTAAATCACCATAATACACCAAAACACTTTTACTTTTACACTGGACGCGCATTTCGCTAACCATGTTAGCATCAACAGCAGATGATTAAAACTGGTTTTTGGAGTTTTAATCATCTGCTGATGATGCTAGCATGGTTAGCGAAATGCGCGGCGTGTGTAAAAGTAAAAGTGTTTTGGTCTATTGTGGTGATTTAGTGTTTTACTTTGTAATAGTGTAAAGTAATGTAGGATTAGTTAGCTTACCTCTAAAATGCAAGACATGCTCCACGCTTGAGTTCTGGAACTGTCATTACAGTATGAACCATTACTATTGGTTAACTCAGGCAATCCGCGCCAAAGAGAGGTTTGTAATTCGATCAGATGTTTTGCGAGAATAATTTTTGTACTGGCTACAGTTTCTTGAAGTAAACCATTTTGTGCCGCAAATATCAGTTTGGCTCGAAGGAAAAATCCTACTGGCCACACCCATTCCTAAAACACAAATAAGAAAAATAAGTAAAAGTTCTTGTTTAAAAATAGTTATTTTTATACAAGACGATAAAATGGTATTTTATCGTCGACCGAAAAGATTAATTCACGAGCGATGAAATCGCGATGAATTCGGGAGACGATAATGCAATTTTATCGTCGTGTATAAAACAATATTTTTTTCCATAGCGAGTTAGCTTGATTTTCATGCATCCGTTATACGTTGATACGATGGTCCGACGGTGCTCTGATTGGTCATAGCGTTTTCGCGCCACTTTTCATCCGTAAATATTTTACTTCAGCCCATCAACGGACCCGTTCATACGATAACGGACGTTTTGACACTTTTTTGACAAATTTAATCTAACCTTAATAAAAATATAAGTAAAATAGCAAAATCGTTATGGAAACGAAAATATAAAATAACACCAATCCGATAAACGGAGGCATGAAAATGCAATAAATTTAAAAACTGCGTTATTTTCTAAGCAATCAAAGCCTTTAATTTCTAGCAATAAAATTAATTAATATCGTATCAACGTATCGTCGGACAACGGATGCATGAAAATCAAGCTTTACGTTTTAAAAAAAATCAGAAATTATTATTTCAAGGTATTTATTACAAGTAAAAAGATATTGTGCTGGGTTGGCGTTGGTTTCTATGTAATTTGACAAATAAATAAAGCTGTCTCTTTAGTTATCAGTTTTGAGCATAGACAAACAAATAAAAAGAGACTGGCAAATTAAATGGCGAAGAGAGGGACAACGTTCCCGTAGTGCAACTCAGAACGCAAAATTTCGTTCTATTGATGTTGATCTGCGCATTGCGTCTATTGGGCCCACTATCTCATTCTAATATAACAAGAGAGAAAGAAGCAGCCATATAAAACGTAATTTCTAAATAGAAATTAGAACAAGCGCCAATCGCCTTTCGTTTTCGTCATCATGACAACCAAGATGACAACATCATGACAATTTGTCATGTTTGTTAATTTTTCTTTTGGTGATTTACCTTTTTTTCTAAACTCTCCATTTTATTGACTTATGAATATGGATAGGGAACAAATTCCTTTGTTCCCTATCCATATTCTTGGATAGGGAATTCTTGTGTATTTATATTTTGTTACTTATAATTTTAGGTTATACTATTTGTTATTTTATTTGCTGCAGGAGCCAGTATCATCTATTTTTTATATGTATTATTTAAAGACACCCGGTAAAATAAAAGTAAGTAGTTATATTTATAATCTTATTAAGAAAAAAGTAGAAGTAGTAGTGTCAAAAATATTTCGAACCTCCCTTAACATAACAAATTAATACAATTAATTTTTTTCATTTTTTGGGTAGGTAGTTTATAGCTGGTTTATAGTAACCAGAAACTTTATTAATATACCTATTTTACGTTTGTTTTAGGATTAAAACTGAACTTGAAAATGGTTCAGGATCATGATTCTCGTAAAGTCTTCTTTGCTTGGATATTCACTTTGTTATTGCAATTAGGCAGTTTTTTCGAAAATAAAATTTTTAATGCCGTTTAAAAAAATTGGCCGATCGTTTCCTGCAACAGTCAGTTCTTCTGCATTTAAAATTGGTAGGTGGGTGGAAAAAACACTGTTATTTTTTGTTATCATATTATAAAAAGTTTATTTATTTTTATGTATAAATAAATATGTTTATAAAACAGTACAATTTTTGCTTTTTTTATAATTTCCCTTATAATAGTAGTATTCTTCCGTTCTGAAAGAAACTGCAAATTTTCACTTACACTGATTTATTCCTTACACCACGTTCTCTTTACGTGGTATAGGGAATAAATCAGTTTAAGTGAAAATTTTCAGTTTCAGAATGAAAGAATACTGGCTTAACGGCTAATTTAAATTTTCCGCCAGCCAGAATGTGCGATAATGTCTTACGATACGTTTTATACCTATCTCTTTCTTTTTCATACAAAGCACACATAATAAAGAAAGATAGCAATAAAGACGTACGTCCTGCCATGGTCCTGCTAATTGTTTTCAAAGTTGTTATTCTGAGTTGCGCTACGGGAACGCGGTCCCACTCTTTACCATGAGATTTGTCAGTCTCTTTTTATTAGTTTGTCTTTGGTTTTGAGTCTATATTTTTTAATTCTCTTTCGTGTCGATTGCTGATTGAATTGGAGCCAGAAATGGCTCAAAACGAAATAAGTAAATTACCAACAGATATTCGGGCTGAGGCGACAAACGCCATATCCAAACTACTTCCATTTAAATCCCGAATAACTTATGAAAAGGAATACACAAATTTTCAAAAATGGAAGCAATTAAAAAACGTGCGAGATGAAAGATCAAGTGAAAACATACTTTTAGCATATTTTTCTGAAAAATCAAAGAAAATGCAGCCAGTTTATGGTCGTTCTATTCAATGCTAAAAAGTACAATACTGGTCAATGAAAACATTGATATTTTAAGGTTTAAGGATAAGCTATACCGTTTAAATTTCCGTAGTAGTATAGTAACATCTAAACTTTGTAGATATAGCAATCTCATAGCTTTCTTGAAGCGGTCATGTAGCGGTTACAAACCGAAAAAGTCAAAAATTTTAAGCCCAGAAGATGTGAAATTTCTTTGCACTGCTTTTTTTGCATTTAATCTACTATTTTATTTAATTTTATCTACTATTTTTGATAGATATAAGGCAATTTTAACAGTTGCTATGGAAAAAATATGTTTTTCTTACAGGTCCTTGATGGTAGTTAAATCCGTGGGCAGTGTGTATATCATTAGAATCATTTGAATTATCATAATCCCCTCGATAATTCCAATCTTTTGTGTCTAAAGTTTTAATTCCCAAAGGTCCTAAAAGACATTTCTCCACCTGTTCGAGAGCTGCCCAAGCATGCTGAGGATTAAACAGTTCAGGAGCCTAAAAATATTATCAAATGTATTATATCTATTAGACAGAAAATATTTTTTCTTGCTTACAGCCACCATTGCTATAGGAAAGTTGCATCTAAGCTGGTAGTCAGTCCAAGGCAGAGAAGAACCATATATATCTTTATATATAGTTCTTCTGTTGATCAAATCAGGTCGTGGTTCTTCGTTCGGAGTAACATAATCTATCCAAAAGTTCTTTTCGAAGTTTTCTTGGATCTTATCTGCCCAAAACTTAAAGGTCCATTTAGTAACGGATCCGTTTTTGTGTAGCCTTTCTACGCCATCATAAGGATAGTGACCTAAAAATCATATTATTTAAGTAACCATACAGTGCTTAAAAAATTAGACACAATGAATAAATTATACTAGCGCTGGTCACTTCATCTGCGTGGTCTGTATTTTAATGCATGCGACAGAGATAAATATGAATGACCAGTTGACAGAGAAACAGAAAAAATAAAAAGTGGCATACAGTGTTGCCCGTTTTCACGTTTGTATAAAAATTTGTGTAGAAAAAAATAAACTATTTTAAAAACGTTCATGTACAGGGTGGCGCCTCTCACACGCCGCGGAGGCTCCAAGGAGAATGACAGTTTATATTGAAATTAAATTTTGTGAGCATATGTAGGTTATTACAGAGCATTTTTTAAAAATATATAGAGTTCTACAGGGTGTCCCCAAAAAAAGTTACATATCAAAGTTGTGTTTTTTGTAATGGAACACCCTATATATTAATTGATTTTCGGATTCTGGGAGAAAAATAAAGGTGAGTTATATAAGAGAAGTATATGACTAAAATGTAAGGTTTTTGACATATTTAACATTTTCCAGAAATAAAGAACAATTTTAAAATTACAATAAAAGCTACCTAAAATGGAATTTACCCGGTATAGCCCAATATGTAGTTAAATTAACTATTGTACTTTAAATCAAATTAAAACTTAATCCGAAAAGTTATACAGGGTGAGACAAAATTAATATTGAACATTGGTCACCTTTAAAAGCATGTTACTCTCTTGTTTTAAATGGAACACCCAGTATATTATTCCGATATTCAATGGAGAATTCATGTCTCTTCAAAATACTATTGGGATTGCCTACCCCTCAAACAAAGATTTTCCTAGATATTTTCATTTACATGATTTGATCTGACTAGACCTTTATTATTTGATAAAATCTAGGTGGCTGTGATATGTCTGACGTTATTTCAACATAGCTGTGTAATTATTCCAACTTTAACAACTAGTTATCATTTTGTGTCAGTTAAAACAAAAAAAATTCTCAGAAATTTGCCGAAAATGCAAATTTATCCTACATCAGAGAGAATTGATATGATTCTAATAGTTGGTGAATGAAGTGTGCATTCTAGGAGGATATGTTAAAGACAGTGTTTACAAAACTCGATCAACTAGTTTCGACAATATGAATGAAAATTATTGTAGCTGGTTTTCGAGTTAGAACTCCACATATGCCTTTTAAAATGAAAAGATCCTTTTGAAAAGACAATCATTTTATGCAGTTAACAGGAAAGGAAGCATTTTGAGCATTTGATTTCATCTAGCTAATTTTTGTCGCATAATTATAGGTTTATATCTAGTTTTAATTCTGTAACAATTAAATATGTTTTAAATGTGTATCTTTTTATTACCCTTGAGTATTTTACTCTACAATTTTTAATTTTTGTTAAATTAACAAAAGGTATATCACACAGCCACCTAGATTGTTTCAAATAATAAAGATTTACTGACGCAAAATCATAAAAATTAAAATATCTGGGAAAATCTTTGTCTAAGGGGTAGGCAACCTTAATAATATTTTTAAGATATATAATAAATTCCCTACTGAACACCAGTGAAAAATACTGGGTGTTCCATTTAAAATAAAGGAGTAACTTGCTTTTAAAAGTGACTAATATTCCATATTAATTTTGTCTCACCCTGTATTACTTTTCGGGTCAAATTTCAATTTGGTTTAACATACAATGGTTACTGTAATTAAATATCAGGCTATACAAGGTCAACTAAAATTTGGGTAGCTGTTATCGAAATTTAAAATTTACTCTTCATTTTCACAAAATGTGAAATATGTCAAAATCCTTAGATTTAAGGTATATGCTCCTTTAATAAAACTCACCTTTATTTTTTTCCTAGAATCCGAAAGTCAATTAATATATAGAGTGTTCCATTAGAAAAAACACAACTTTGATGTGTAACTTTTTTTGGGGACACCCTGTATAATTCTATATATTTTTTTAAAATGCTTTCAGTTAACCTACATACGCTGCCAAAATTTCGTTTCGATATAAACTACCGTTCTCCCATGAACTTCCGCGGCGTATGAGAGGCGCCACCCTGTATACTACTGAAATGAAGATAATATATCTACGCTAAATATAATCTGTTGCGAGATCTGTAGTGAAATGAGTAACTAATTGTGAGAAATAAGGTTCCAACCCTAGATGCAACATTTTCCATAAACGCCTACTTGTGAGGTTTGAACTTTTGCTGTAAAATCCGGCAATACCGCATAGAAGAAATGTATCAACCCAACTTTTATCTCTTTTTAATACATTTGATTTTCCATTAAGCTGCCTACATCACTGTCTTACACGTTAAAATCCAGACCACACTTCTAACATGACCAAATCGGTATATAAACAGGGTGGCTCACCTCATTCGCCTCGGTTTATTATACGATAAGATGTAGAAACAAAATTTTTATGGGTTTACGTAGAGAGCCAATTTGCATAATTTAAAATAATTTTCAAATGTACAGGGTGTGTCAGAACTATGATCCATACCAAAGTTATATTTTTTCTTATGGAACACCCGGTATTTTATTTCATTTTTAGAGTCTTGGACGTAAAATAAGGCGTTTATTATAAGAGTTTAATATGTTTAAAAGCTTTGGTTTTTGAGATATTTAAATATGCATGCTATAATAAAAAAGTCTTTTAACACCCTCTACATTACTTTTCAGAGTTAATACTCGTGCTAACTTTGAAGCCAGAGAAATAAACTTTACTAAAAAAGTTTATTGCTTCCTTAAAGTATATAGAGGTATCAAAAATTGCTGGTCTATTTTAAATATTTATTTTACATAAAAACTTCGTTATTTCAAATACAGTACGCCTGTCCGTTCTGTAGCTACGGGGTATCCGTGAGAGGGGAAACGATATTCTCTCGATGTTTTTCGTAAAAAATTAGACGACGCGTCCCATCAATAAAAATTCGACAAATTTGCAAGTAGCCAATAAAATGAGTGGGCGGAGCGATTTGCGGTAACGTACTCGTCAAGTCGACGTATCAAATATATTGTTGTTTATTTAATTGTTTTTTGTCCGCATTCCTTTCATAGACACAGATCCAGCAGATGTACAGTACAAGACTATGCATTTTTTAAATAAGTCGAAGCAGATTTGAATGCTCTTTTAAACTATATTAGGGTTTCCTATACCTATCGGGCTCAGATTTTGAATAAAAAGCGATTTTTCAATAAAATGGCAAACAAGATGGCTGGTGTCGCAAATTCATTGTCTTCACTTCCAACGACAGGTTTCTGCCTAACGGGTTTTTCATATGCCACACTATCAGCTCTGCGAAACAGGAAAAGTAGCTTTTCAAAAGAACGCTTGTAAAGAAAATTCCTATTTGGATATATTTGAGCATAAACCTTTCAGGCCAACAAGCAATTGTCCTCACATAACACATAATACCAATCACTAGTAACATATCTATTCCTGATTACAGTTGAGGGTTGGAACCATAGACTTAAAATAAAATATAGACTACACTATTTACATCTCAACGCGGACAAACAACCTTTTTTGTACACATGTTTACTTCTGGGTACAGTCGACCGAGCCTTCCTCATCCAGCCTATGTTGTTACGTGACCGGTAGTTTTGATCGTCTAATAGGTTTCGTGTCTTGTCTAGGCCGGTTAAAAGATGTACAAATCGTATTTTTAATCATACATATGTCAATTTTTTCAAATGGAACAAGGGTGACTCATTAACATATTTGGAAAAAGCATTTTTTTATGAATATATTGATACCACACACTTGGTATTTCGAGTCAAATTGTCGTTATGAACCGCATGTTACAATTACAATTAAACCATATGCGAAAATGTCAAAAGTTGACATATTATATGTCATTCTATTCAGAGTGTCATTTTCTATCGAATAAAGTAGAAATATACCGAGGGTGCCGTTTAAAAATTAAAAGTTATAGTCATTTCCGGTGAAACAGGAAGTGACCAAAAACAATTGAATGCGTCAATCAATCCTAATTTATGTCATATACTAACATGCTAAATCTTGTTTTTTATTTGAAAATATAAAAAATTATGGGGATGAGCCACTTTTGGGACGCACCCGGTATAATAAAGACAGTACCGAGTTAAATAAATGTAGTTTTCATTTTATCCACTTCCTATCATCTTCCTTGCTTTAATGGAACAGATTTATGTTTTCTCTAATTTACATTATACATAAAGACATCACTTAACCAGAGAAAAAATTACAACAATCATATTTTTTTTCTCTCCCTGTCACTCGATTCTATTATATCTGTGGAATAGATCCTGTTTTGATTAATATTAGGGGTTGTAAATGTTTGACTAAAATTAATAATCTATTATTAATTTCAAAAAATACGTAATTTCGATTATAAAATTTCTTCTATAACGTGTATTTTATTATTTTTATCCTTTTTGGACTCTAAGACGTTTTTTCTAAACTTTTATTTAAAAAACCTGTCCTAAATCTTAATAAAATATAAAAAAGTTTAAATACGATATATTTTTAATTTAATTATAGCTTCATTAAAATAAAAAAATTACCCGGCTATGAGACGGAGAGTTCAGGTGTACCTGAGAAACCAAAGACAGTGTTGTGTTTCTCGGCAGAGTCGTCAGGGAACGACCGTTACGACAGAGACAACCTATCTATCGCTCGTGTCGCACTCGTTATAACCTAAAACAATAACACAACAATAACAAGATATTGTCTGACCGCATGTTCCAGCTATTTATGAATGAGATGCTCAGTCTATATTTTATTTTAAGTCTATGGTTGGAACCTTTGGTGTTACACAGCAAAATAAAAACACTAAATCACCACAATACACCAAAACACTTTTACTTTTACACTGGACGCGCGTTTCGCTAACCATGTTAGCATCATCAGCAGATGATTATAAACTAATAGTTTATAACTATTGTATTGTGGTGATTTAGTGTTTTTATTTTGATATCTATTCCTTCCGCCATGCCACCAGATACTGCTTCATTTTTC